GCCCCCCATACACACACACACTGCCCACCATACACACAAACTGCCCGCCATACACACAAACTGTCCCCTATACACACAAACTGCCCCCATACACACAAACTGCCCCTCATACACACACACTGCTCCTCATACACACACACTGCTCCCCCATACACACATACTGCCCCTCATACACACAAACTGCAACTGTTACACACACATACTGTCCCACACATACACTGCATCCCTGACATACACTGCCGCCCTCACTCACACACTACAACCTTCACACACACACTGCACCCCTTACACATTGCACCACTCACACACACACCACTGTTCCTATGCCCTACTACAGCCCCATTTCCCAGCAGATCTCAGGTAAGTTGTCAAACTGTTTTAAACGGTTTGACTACTTACTGTGGGAGGGGGTCCCGGCACTATTGACACCATAACCACTACACTGAGCTGTAGTGGTTATTGTGTCTGGATTATTTCTTTAAATAATCTACAAGTGCCCCTCCCGAGATCAGGCTCTGGATCCGCCACTGATTCACACTGTGCTTCATAATGTACTCCAAATATGGTGCCTTAAAGTGGTAATGTCACAAATGATATAAGTGAGTGTTCTCTTTATCTCTAAATATTAGGGGACTCAGGCCTAACAATAAAAGGTTGCCAATTCAGGACCCATTCAGGTCAGCCACTCTTCTAATAACCCTCTCTATAGAATCTCTAGGAAGCCGGTGTAAAGACACAGAGGGGTGAATAGTGGGAGAAATGGGATGCCAATATGATAGATCTGACAACAGCATTCTTTATGGATAGAGAGCAATATGGTATGGCTAATAAAGAGGTTTCATTATTCATGGAGGTAGATTATAACATGGGCAACATCTTTACTACCTCTGACATCAGCAATGAACACTGCAATCACTGTAACCTATATAGTCCACTGGCTGCTTTAATGCTCTGGTGCCATCAATTTGTTAAATTGTTTGTGTGGTTTGGCAACTTTACTAGATCCTGCACTATGTAGGCTAAGGGCTCCCAGTCTAGTAGTAATACTCACCTTTAGTCTACCTGGCACATCGACACACCATAACTGATGATCTTCGCTAATACAGTGCTTCTTCATAGGAAAGCATTGGCGGGCTAGTCCGTATCTACTCTTAGAGATGCATTGACTCAATGCATCTCTATCGGAAGCAGCATCTCCAGACACTCATTGTCTGAGAGACTCAGCTATACTTAGCGCTACGGAAACATAGAGTATAAGACTGGACTCTGCGCATGCGCCCAGGGAAATCATCTAAGATGTCAAAATGTTTTAATACAGTTTGACTTATTACAGTGGCTTACGTCAGGGCACTCCTTGCACCACAACCACTACAGTGGGTGCAATGATTATTGTGCTTGAAGTGTTCCTCTAAGATGGAAGCAGCAATATTTGGTGATTTTCTGGATGTGAAGAGAGTAAAGGAGATCAGAGCTAAGGCAGTAGGCCTCTGAGGTAAAGATGGCGGTAGCACTGTTTACTGAGAGAAAATGACATGTAATGATTAAAGGAGGACTTTTGGGAAATGAACAGTTATCCAGCTTAAAATTGCGGAAAGGCAGTGGGAAAGAAAGCAATTGGGAGAAGGTAGGCAGATCTGGGTGCCAACATAAAAGTGTTTCTGGAATTCAAATGAACTAATTAGAACACCAAGAAAATCATTAAAGAGTGTGATTAAAGGGGCAAAAAACAGAACCCTGGGGAGCACCCACCTTGTGCTCCATCCATTACATTGCTTGTCATTTCTTTAACCCATACCTCCCAAGTGTCCCAATTTTGGGCCTAAATCCCTCTGTCGTTTTTTCTATTTGAATGTCCTTCTCTTCTAGGAGCTCCATGCTGTTGGTGTGTCTGAGTGTGTAACAGAGCTCCACAGCAATAATACTCCCAGTAATGTGTCTTTAAACTACAATAAACCTGTTTTGAAATCAGTCTGTGTGAATAAACTACATTGTTCTTGTTCTAAATTACATTTTAATTTGATAAATTGTTAGTAAGTCACCTAACATTTCTCAGAACACCTCTGCCTCTGTCCAGACCCCCACTCACACCCCTAAAATGAGTGTCCCTCTTTGTCGAGTTGAAATGTTGGGAGGTATTAACCTTTTCCTTTCCTGCTCATCTCTCTGCCTATATGTACCTTCCTCTCCCTCCCCATGTCACTTTGTATACCCCTTTCCTCAGTCGTTTGCACCTTATCCTTCCCTATCTTACTTGCCCACTTCCTGACTTCCACACCTCATGTAGCCCCATCCACTGGTTTTTATTCTATTTGCTACATTAACATCTACTCCCACCACCATGTAATAAGCTGTAGCTGTTACATATTATAAATCAAACAAAGACAGTGTGCATTAACCAGCAGCTCTGTGTCGGTATGAGTAATTTGTCCTAGCCCTGTTGTGTGTTCTCCTGGGATCTCTCCCATTCTCATTATAGACAATGACACAGACTCGCAACCTTGTTACAAAACCAAGTGAGGTTTTGTAACAATTTGAAGGCTCGGCGGCCAATAGGAGGCGCCGCTGCGGGTCTCGTGACGCCGTTTTATATAACACTTGGCTAGAAGCTTGTGTTATTATCCGTATTGCAGGAATGGTTCTGCACTCTGACTGTAGGGGCGGCTGAGACTGGCGCCCCCACCCCCCATTGTAACCCCATCTAATAACCAGCAGTCACAGAGAGAGACACACACAGAATGAGCCAACAGGAGGCAGACACTAGCCTGATGCTGGAGTTTGCTTTACAAGCATTCCAAGCCCAGAACTTCCAGCTAGCCAGTGATATCTATGGCAGGCAGCTGCAGGAGCAGAGGGCTGGGGGGGTGGACTGGGCATTGCTGCTGAGGAGGGCTGAATGCCTGGCATACTCTGGCAACCTGCAGGGTGCCTGTGACTTGTACCAGAGGGCTGCTGTGCACAGGAAGGTGGGAGCGGATCAGCTGAAGACTCTGATTTCCTGCTTAGCAGATGGCATCAGGACCAGAGAGGGGCTTCCCCATGCCCAAGGAGAATCCAAGTGGGGTATCCTGAGCTGCAAGGGATGCCGGGACTTCCTCTGGGAGCCAGTGACCCTGGTGTGTGGCCATACCTACTGTAAGAAGTGCCTGGAGGACTACAAAGGAAAGGATCAGTGTGAGCTGTGCAGGGTGACCCTGGACCAGGGGGATGCAGGACATCAATTTAAGGTCAATGTGGTCCTCAGCAACATCTTGTGCAAGTGGTTCCCCAAGGAGGTCCAGGCAAGGAAACTCAGACAGGAGGGCAATGCCCTGTTCAAGGAGGGCAAACTGCAAGAAGCTCTGGGGAAATACAATCAAGCTATCGATATAGGTAATAACTTGTGGATGCCTATAGATTGTGATAAGCAACTTCTGCTTCCCTAGCCTTTAATGACTGCAATCCCTAGCGGCTACACTAGAAAAGGTTGCCTGGCCATAACATTTAATTTACCTTTTTGTATCACTGAGCCACTTTGTCAATCCCTATCACCCAGGATAGATGCAGTGGCAAAGGTTGTCTGGAATAGAGTTGGTTATTTTGGACCACTGAATAAATAAAACATTATGTAGCATCTGTAGGGTTAAACAGCATCTATCACCCCTCCTTGTATAGTTTTAAACCTTTAGGATAATCTGGGAAAACCTGCAATATGTCACTATTTTGGTTTCTATCGTTTAAGCACCCTGTTTTGAAATGTATATGTAATTACTATCGAGTTTGGTAATATATACAGTTACACACTTTAATACTTTTTTAGAAATATTTCTCTTTATAATTTATATATCAAAAACCACAAAATGTGTTTTAATATAGATGGAGATTCAGATAACAAAAAAAGAGTGAAATAGCTAAACTGATTTTAGACATTATCCAGAGGTGAATTGTAGTCCTCACATATATAGCTAGAAGTACGTCATTGGGCATAAATAAACACATACAATATTAATCACAGTTTCTGTAAAACATATGATGGGACAGGGCTACAATGTGTTTGTATTTCATATCTCATTATAAAAATAGGCATCTTAAAGTTCACTAACATGCTCATAGTCCTGTATTGCAGATGCTAATTTTCATGAGTTTGGCTTATGTAAAAACATCCAGAGCTTCTATTTTTGTTTTCAGGTAGTGATACCTTTTTGTGCTATCAACACAGAAATTGCATTTTTGTTTAGATTTATTAATATTTTTTATCAGATGCCACTGCAATAAATGGTTCTTCTGATACATTATATGTGTTCTGATTCATTGTAACTACATAATAATATTAATATAATATAATTTCTTTCTTGAACATAATTATCATTATCCATATTCAAGCTGTGTATTGATAAACACTCCCTTCTTTTCTAGCTCAATTTTAGCTTTTAATGTCAGCAGTCTTCCTGTTGACTGGTTATGTTATATTTCTGTCAGATTTGTTCCCAGACTATTAATACTGCGCTCCTGACCTGTCAGCTCTGTTTGAAAGTGTAGCTATGTTGAGAAAGTAGGTCACCAGAGCACAGTTGTATAACTATGAATGCTACACTGTCTGCTAGCCATCCTTCCTCCCCCTCCTGGTAGGATGGTTGTGTAACCAGTGAAAAGTAAAACATATATGGGTCGTTCATTTGGTGTCCCATCCAGGAAGGAATGTGACTTTTAAATATATTATATAAACCTTTTTTGCTCTAAAACTCTTTGCACACCCAGATTGAATTAATGGGCTCGTTTTTGGATGGCTGGGGTTGATAAAGCTCCTTGTTCTAATAAATGCATCCCACATGTCTAACATTTTGGCCTGTTGAGTTGTAGTGTTTGCTTGTGTGACATTAAATGAGGTTTATTCAATGAACTCTGATTTTTAGCTAACTGTAAGCTAAAGGGTAACATTTAGAAAAAACAAGACCAAAACATATACAACTAGGCCATTTTAGCCTGAATCTTGCCATTTGGAAATCAGTTCTCTAGAATTTGGAGATAATTGAATAATACTCTGTGTTTATCCCATATTACAGCAGCACATATGTCGGTGCTATATATAAATATTTGTAATTTTAAAGTACTCTTGATGTGCTTATCCCAGGACATAGTGTTCATTTTATGACCTAGTAACTATTTATGTAATTGGAAATATCATTTAGAACCAGAACAAAGTGTCTGTTTTCTAGACATGTCTGCTGAAGTTTATGTGACGCATCAGAATTCAAAGTGATTTTCAAATTTTACGTCGAAATATCCAAATGGGGAAAGTTTTCAGTTGATTTACTTTGGCCTAAGATTTGTAATGTCGCTGCATTTCACACTTTAGTAAATAGTCACTGTTAGTTTTATTGCTGTGGAGCTCTAATAAACACTCTTACACAAATAAATAATTTGGAATTCCTAAAAAAGAGAGACCTCCTGATTGAGATATAGACAGTTCAGCCCACAATATTGTCTGTCTCTCCAAGATGGGAAGTCGAGAGGTATGATTTAAATACAGATAAGTGTATCAGAATGTTAAAGTCCCAACACTGTTTGTTACCCTGCAGAGAGTTTAACAATTTCTCCTTCCTCAAATATAATCTGTTGTTTCCTATCTGCAACACAGAAATGAGTTAACAAATATGTGAGCCTCAAGCGATTAACGTTTGAATGACCAATGATATATTCAAAGTGGGAGAAATTATTAAACTACATTTTATATATGTGTGTTTGTGTATTAATTTGTGTTCTAGTAAAGAGATCTAATTAATCATATATGCAGAACACTTTTAGGTATGTTTGGATAAACGGTTACTTTATAGCTAATTGTGCAATGTGTTTTTTTAATGTGCTTTTGTGATGGATTACAACAGCTGTTTTTATATTGAATTCAGTGCGTCATTTTAAAGAAGGAGAGACTAGTGTAAACTTGCAAATAGATTGTGTGAATACACTACGGATTGTATAGCACAGTTTTTATTATGTTGTAACCTAGAATGTTGTTGGTTTTGATTCAGATAATTTTATAGATGCCCGATTACCTAGCTTTGGCAACCAAGAATGTAAATGATTGTATCAAATCTGTAGAACTATTATACAGAATAGATCAATGCGACACAAGTTGTCAAACTCATGCCTAGGAAAAATAAGAAATATACTTTTTTGGCAAACTAAATGGCCATAAACAGCCACAGGCAAATGTCCTATATAGAAGACCGGAGATGTTACATACAGGTCTTGTGTCTGCAGTTATGAAACCCAACATTTAGTACACCTCATACAGTATCTAATTGTTAGCTCATTTTAACAGGGTTCTATAAACCTATTGTTCCTGTACGTCATACGTGTTTTTTTTAGAACTAAATGTTTGTCTTGTTTCAAATTGTACAGCACTGCGGAATATCTTGGCGCTATAAAACAATTGTAATTGTATCATCATGGCCTTGTCCTTCCCCCCCCCCACCTCCCCCCCTTCCCAGCCATTAGATCAGATCATACTCCTATCCCTCCATATTTATCAGGTCCCTGTATTTGGCCAACTCTACATTTCATAGTGATGTCTCTCACTTTCTAGCCATTATGTCCCTGTGTGTACAGCCCATGCAGATCAAGTTTTGGACTTCCTTTATTTGTGTCCTCATTGACCCCTTCCTCTCACCCAACATTCGTGTGCCTCATTTCCATTCTCTGACACATCCTATTGCCTTTCTCTCCTCTACTCACATTGTTCTTGAATCTTTTCTACATGTGTCATGACCCCGTTTCACCCTTTCCTAATAGATCATGATTGTTTTCTTCCTTAACATCATGACCTACTTTGTATCTGTCACCTCTCTCTGCATATTGTTTTTCCCTTCCCATCACTCCCAAATTGTGTTCCTGTTTTTAATCAGCAGATCACATTCTTGTCCCACTCTTCTATTTCATTCCATTTGTCCCAAGTGGTCTCTACTTTACCTTATGTATAACTGAACAAAATAATGTTGAATTTAAAACATTTAAAGACACTATATGCAAAGTGACAGTCGCTTTAACAGGAAATAAAGGATCGCAGACAGTCCTATTTTATTGGGGTCTAGTCACTAATACTGAGTGACTCTCAATGACACCACATTTAGTGTCAGTATAGAACATTGGGATTTCAGTCAGAATGTTTTGCCCAAATACAGGAGTCGTTGTATCGCAATTTCAAAAGATGTAATGGGTTAATTTATGAGTCCATATCAATTTGTCACCACTATATGTAAATCATTTAAAGGGACAATAATTTTCCTTTTTGTATATGTTGCCAGTAGTAAAGCCAACACTTTTCAAAGGTTTGTTTTCCATTGATCTATCGCTTCCAATTCTAGTAGCACAACATAGAACTAATAGAGTCTGTCTCCTGCCCCAAAATAACACCTTTGGAAACTGTCTGCATTTAATTATTTACATAACCAATTAAATTCCAGACCATAATTGAAGATTACTCATTCATGTAATAACATTTATAAAATAGTATACGTGAAGCTATTCTTTGTCTGATCTTTTTATTATTTCAGTTCTAAAATGTGAATAAATTGCATCTTGGCAAGTGTTGGAATAGAGTACTTAGAGCAAGTGTAATGTAGTGTATATTGTATTAAACAAAGCACATCCTGCTTAATACATTTTAGTTTAATGTCACACTATCAAACCTGCTTAATTATGCAGCTGGTACTACATATTGGCTCCCTGATGACTTTACCCTGTTATGGACAAATTATAATTAGCATTTAATGAACATATGTTCTCATAATGCCATTAATAGTGTAAGATTACTGTGGATTTAGGTGCAGTAAATGAGATTTTTGGGCCACATGAGGGCCCTTGTCCTAGTTAACATATTATTAAAATGAAGCAGTGAATTCTAAAAAGGCAATACATTATGTAACTTCATATCTTTCTTCTCCCAGCTGAGAATCTAATTTCCTTTTAGCTTAACTGCTAAGGGTTACATGCTCAGTTTAAAGTAGACCTATCAAGAAAAAAATACATTTTTGTTTGACAACAAGGCTTAAAATATCTATAAGTATTTTTTCTTTTTTTTCTTTGGTAAATGGCTCTGTTTTTTTCTTTTTTCGTTTATGAAGAAATTTCACTTTGTCAACAGCTATACAATTCAATATGCTAGCATCATTCAAGGGACGTTGTCATAATTTTTTATTATATAAAAAAAATAAAAAAGTATAGCCTTTGTGTGTATTATTTTGTAATTCATACATATAAGTAAGTACCTATTTTCCACTCATATCAAGGCTTATTATTACTCTGTGGGGACATTTTGACGTCCTCACTGGTCTGAACGTCCATGTTTGTGTCAAAACTATGTACAATTTGAACAGCTGAAACCACCTTAGCATACATTTTTGCAATGCCTGTCACTGGACATCAGGTTTGTCTTGGTTACCTGCTATGGCTCTGTTTGGATAAACGGTGCTTCTGACCAAAACAAATTTTAAAAAATGGCTGCCTCGTGTAGCAAAGGTAAGCCAGGAGAAACAGTGATGCCAATTCAGCAGAGATACTTGAAAAAAAAAAAACTAATTTATCATAGCTGCACCTCCACTGTGTGTGTGACAAAGCCATGAGGCCTCTGGCACACTGATGCACTCTCTGGCATGTTCGAAGACATTATGTACGAACTTGAATGCACGCTCCCTGTTTTGCGTTATGTGTATGGCCCTGCAAAGGTTAACTAAGTTGCATTCTTTGGCCAATGTCAACAGCACAGCAAGTAAATTGCAATAAATTGCCTTTCCTTGACGTTTGCCTCAGGTACAAATACTGTTACAAAACACAATTTACATATGAACTTTAAGGAAAAGCAAGTCAAGTGCTTGCAAGTAAAGACTAGTTTTAATTGAGTCATATTTTGCTTTTATTCCAGTGTCCTGTGACCATTTACTGTACAGCAACCGGTCCATGATTCACTTCAGCTTGAAGGCTTATGAATGTGCGTTGCAAGACGCGGAAACCGCATGCAGGCTGCAGCCGTGTTGGGTCAAAGTACGTTTCTCAGCGGAATGTTTACTCGCCATAAATCAGTATTGACCACTTTATATAACAAATGTTTAACATATTCAGAAATGTATTGTATAAAAATAAAAACACGCATAACACATATGGGGACAGATTTATTGAAAACAATTACAAAATGTTCAGAGTTATGACAGTGACTATATACATATATATTTGTATACTAATCATGTAAATATTATAGAAAGATATTCTAACGGACCACACTATATTAGCTTTTGACTTGGGGGAAAGTAAAAGAAAATTGCTTTTATTTTTGTGACCTAATGCACGTGAGTTATCTGGGGTATCTTGTTTTTAGGTCAACCTAATGTAAATTAATTCTAACCAGTGTGTGTTTGCTATTTTGTGTGCTTGTTTCTTTTTCTTTTTAGAGTCATTTGATGAAGGCCAAGGCACTGACGAGCTTGGGGAAAACAGATTATGCTTTGAGAGAATTCCTTTTCTGCATTGCACTAGACACAGACAACAAGACCGCAAAATTAGAGGCCCAGAAGGTAATGTGAAATTATTAATATTAACCGAATTTTGGGAGGATAACCTTTGATGAGAACCTCCCTTTCTCAAGCCTGAAGCATTTTTGAGACTTGAGAAAGGGAGGTTCTCTTGAAAGCTTGTCATTCCAAACTTAGAAACTTAGTACAATAAAAAAAGGTATTAAAAGATACTAATTCCATCTGTACTGGACTAATCCGGCTACACTGTCTACTATATACTCACTTTGAGATAAAAACTGTTTTCATTTTTTGAAAACTAGTCTCCTTTATTGTTTCTTCTATCTAACCCAGAATTGTGACTTGTAAATGTGTTTCAAACATGCCTAAACATAAACAATCAGAAGAATTCTTCTTCCTACGCAAACCAAACAAAATAGTCTGAGGATAAAGAATCGTAAATATGTGTTATCATTACCCTTTAATCTTAGCAATAATAGTTAAGTGCAATCATGATGAACGCAGTAATGAGAACTGACACAACTTTAAACTGTTCAGTTGCTCAGAATTCTGTTGTGTTGAGTTTCCTTTGAAATCACCAGATTCTGGAGCTGAATAAAAGGATGAACTCCATGCCACAGAGTTGGCAGTAGGGATTCTCGAGCATATTTTCTTGGGTGCAGCTTTTCAACAAATTTCCTATTGAATGTTTGCAGGATCCCAGTGTAGATCAGATTTAAAATATAATGTACTAAAGTCAGCCACAGTGATTTGTTCATAATGTTTGTTAATTGTGTAATAGTTGAAATAAAATTCATGTAAGTGTTGACGACTGCATGTTCTGCCTTATTGTACACACAGCTGCTGCTTACTTTATTAAATCCAGAAAACTGTCAAGAAGGCTTGCCGGACCTCTTGCAGGTGATTCCACATCCATTCAGAGTAAAAGGAAATGTTGACCCGTTGAGTTTGGCCATGCCGTGCAGCAATCTACAGAGGTTAAACAAAGTATGTTTTATTTAGTTATTTTACTGTTTAGCGCTATTTCTCATTGCTGATATTATATATTATTATTTAGATATAAAACTTTCTGTAAATTGAAATGAATTAACCCTTAAATTCTGTAGCACTATTTGATTAAGCCAGTACTGTCTTTATTAATATTCTACTCCAGAAAAGCACCCCTCTCACACCCCATACGGTACTTAGTTTCTGATTGCTATAGGCCCGGTCAGGATAATATACCCCCATACACTTTAAAGGTAAAGTCCAGTCACTAAAACACTTCAGCTTGTTGTTAGCTTTAAGTTTAAAAAAGTGCCAATTTCAATTTCAAATTTCAAATAAAATGGAGGGGCGGACCTGACTGCAGAGCGGTGCAGACACACGTTACTGCTGCTCCTGCATCTTATCGCACAAAGTACCAATTCCCGCTGAGCAGAGGTTAAGACCCAACTTCTTTTGGCTTCCAATCGATCTGGGACACCGAGACCTACAAGATGATACCAGTCATGTGGTTATATGCTTTGGTTTCGATTGCCCAGCCACTGAGGCCTATAAGCATGGCGGATACAGGGGAAACGGCAAGAGAGGCACCTCGCCAGGCCCCCTCTGCCCACGGGAGATGGGGAGGCAGAGACGAAGCGGGCCAATCCTGGTTAAAGCATGCACTCCTATGCCAGCAATGACCACTGCCTGCCCACCTGGGCCAAGGGTCACAAGGAGGTTTCCTCCAAAGCTTCGATCACCTCGCTGTTTTAAGCATTAAAATTCTCTAAACTGCTTTATTACATTTATTTTAGATATGCTATCAGTTATTGATCTTTGATTCGTTTATTTGGATGATTTCCATATCCTTCTAATTAATTCTTATTAAATCTTAATGTACATTAATGTCATAATCAAAAAAGCAAAAACAGTTTTTGTTTTTTTCTCATTGCAAAGGTGAACTTGGAAAAAGAGATTCTTCCGATGGTTTCAGAACACAAAGTGTCCAGTGATTGCAATACAGGGAAGGAGTCATTCCGGAGTCCAGGGAATAACAGTATCTGGCAGGTCTCTGTGGCAGAGACAACCATCCCATCAAAATGCATTTCTCTGAAAAGAAAACTGAGCTCAGATGAGACAGAGAAATCTAAGCTTACAGTGGTGCCTTCTAAGATCCAGAGAAGAGGTGAGCGTCCATTAAAGATAATAAACCATTCAAGTGTGCCTACTATATTCCAATCCCACTACTCTCTCTCAATCCCATATTTTCCTACCTTTCCTTGGGTGGCCACTTTTCTCCATGGCTGCCCACCTTTTTGTATACAAAGGGGCACACCTGGAACATGCATTCTCAGTACTGTTGCTGCCATCAAGACCAAAATGTATACAAAATACAGATTAGGGAACAGCAAACACACGCGCACACACAAATAACATTTCACATTTTACAAGGCTACTTAAAATCCCCTATGGCAAACAAATATGGGAATTCAGTTAAACCATATGGCTATGTTGTGTCCACTGAGTCACAGTACCCCATTATCAGTGGGTCCTACACTAACTTTAACACGGGAGACCAAGTTGCTAACTGCAATACTTACTGCTTAAACTGCTTCCAGAGACTCTACTCAATGTATGCTTTGCTGTGTCCACCTCCAAAGTGGCACCTATAGTGGATGGGTGGGGTGCTTAGCCCAAAAGAAATCTCTTCTGGATTCCATGTATACATAAAAAATGAACAAGCATTTCTCAGTAGTGGATTTGTCTTAAAAGGACACTATAGTCGCAAAACTACTTTAACTTAATGAAGCGGTTTTGGTGTATAGATCATGCCCTTGCAGTCTCCCTTCTCAATTCTCTGCCATTTATGAGTTAAATTATGTTTTTTTGCAGTCCAGTGCACACCTCCCTGCATGTGACTTACACAGCCTTCCGAAACACTTCATGTAAAGAGTCATCTAATGTTTATACTTCCTTTATTGCAAATTCTGTTTAATTTAGAATTACTTATCTCCTATTCTGTTAATAGCTTGCTAGACTCCTGCAAGTGTCTATTGTATGTAATTAAAGTTCAATTTACAGAGTAGGACATCACAACGTTTAAAGTAAGTTGCATCTGATTGAAAATAAAACCATTTTGTTGTCTTGCAGGCTGTGTCAGTCACAGCCAGCAGAGGTGTGGCTATTGCCGCATAAACAGAAACAAAAGTAATTTAAAGGATCACTATAGAGTCAGGAACACAAACATGTATTCCTGACCCTATAGTGTTAACACCACCATCTAGCCCCCCTGGGCACCTCATACCTCCATAAATATAGTAAAAATCTTACTGTATTCAAGCCTGAAGCTGTACATCTGCATGCTGTTAGACTCAGAAAAACAATTAGTCTGTCGACGTGTGGTAGCCTGATCCAATCACAGTGCTTCCCCATAGGATTGGCTGAGACTGACAAAGAGGCAGATCAGGGGCAGAGCCAGCATGATTCAAACACAGCCCTGGCCAATCAGAATCTCCTCATAGAGATGAATTGAATCAATGAATCTCTATGAGGAAAGTTCAGTGTCTGCGTACAGTGGGAGGAGATACTGAATCACAGGATGTTGTGCACAGAGCCGCCCTGTGCTCTGCTGACAGCAGATCTGAGTGGATGGAGGCATATTATGCCTCCATTTACTCCGAAGTCCCTCTGGTTCACTCTGAGTGACTGCAACTGGAGGTGTTCCTAGCTTTCAATGTAAACTGAGAAAATACAGTGTTTACATGAGAGAGGCTGCAGGGAGCTATAGTTCTCACCTGAACAACCTCATTAAGCTAAAGTTGTTCAGGTGACTATAGTGTCCCTTTAACTCCTAATGGCAGTTAATTGAACAGTGAAACGTCATAGGTGTGATCTATACACAAGAACTGCTTCATTAAGCTACAGTTGTTTTGGTGACCATAGTGTCATTTTGAAGTGCAAAATATATACAAAATACAGATAAGGGAGCAGTGCGCACACACACACACACAAAATACAGTTACACCACATGGCACCTTTTTTGTATTCTATGAGTATACTTAGAATACTACATAATGAGTACTACTTAATTGCAAACAGAGGTAAATTTCCTTTAGCTCTATTTTTTACCATAAATTATACTGAATATATTTTTTTTTACTTTTTCCCAGCAGATGTGCCAGTGACTGACAAAGCAGACAATGTTATATCTGTTTCTCCATATGTGGACTCCTCTGACCTGGACTGTTCCCTCTGCATGAGGTATCATTTTGTTTCTGTTAGATATAATAGTATTCACATAGATTCCCTTTTTTTCCCCCCAAATAATCCTGGTAGTCTAATAGTTGTCCAGTAACATAGAAATTATATTTATAGAGATTAAGTAACTTTCCTTAGAGGAGGCTTAGGCAACAATAACTCCAGCTAACTAAAGCTAGACTGCAACTCTTGATGCGGACCTTTAAAATGTACCTGTTAATTTAAAAGTAAATTTAATTCCATCTATACCGTGTGCTAGCAGGAATGCTAGGAAATGGATTTTGGAAAAATCTACAGAAATATAGGTGTCTCCCCACTACCTGCCAATCAAATCTTTGTCATTGAGTCAGCATAGACCTCAATGTTGAAGAACTGACTGATGAGGGAAAGCAGGAGAACCTTCTTACAGGTGGTTCTCCTTCTCTTCAGCAAAGCAACCACAGCGCTCGCTGTGTGTTCGCTGTACTCGCTCCCTAACCAGCACTTCTATCTCTGGCTGGAGGAGTATAGGAATGAAGTGACTCTGTTCAGTGACCATTGCATTGGTAATAAAGTTACATTAAGGAAAATTGTCCTTCTAGGGGAAATGTCCCCAAGCAGAGCCAATACTTTACACCATGGGCACTAACAGAGCTGCGGACATGGTGACTGTGGATTAAAGGTAAGTAATAGTGATATCTGAAACATTTACGTTAATTGAATTAATTTATGATATTTATAGAGCGCCGTCAAATTCCGCAGCGCTTTACAATGGGTGGACGAACAGACTTGTAGTTGTTACCAATTCCCTTAAATTTTCCCCACAATTCCTAGTTTAGTGATTTATGTTATCCTCATTCCCTTTCTTGTTGCAAGATATTGTTCCCTTCTCCTCTCTCTCTTTTGGCTGCAGGTTGATGTATGAACCAGTTACTACACCCTGTGGGCACACGTACTGCTTAAAATGTCTTGAGCGATGTCTGGATCACAACCCTAAGTGTCCTCTGTGCAAAGAAGACTTGTGTGAGGTTGGTTTCATAGTAAATCATTTGACTATATCGAAATAAAGTTATTAATTGATTGGTTCCATGTGGTAGAGCAGGCACAGAGCAGCACCAGACTGCATTGACGGCTTGCAAATGTTTATCAACTTTTAAGGGAATTTAATCATTCTCAGTGGGAAACGAATTGCATTTAAGAGAGAATCAGATTGTTACGGGAAATACATTTAAACAGGACAAAGAAATTCTCCTATAGTCACTTGTTTAATTTACTGCAGCAGTCAGTGAATGAGGAAACAAACATCAGTGTTACATGAGATATGCAGTTTGTAATCTATCATTTAGTTTTATAGAACCAAAAAAAGTACTATGTCACGTCACAATGTAACTGTAGAGATACATTTACTACATAACAATCTGAAACCGTATATAAAACCCATTGGTAACAAGTATATGTTATGAATAAAGAAAAAGTGTATTTTATTTTAGTTCTTTTGATTTTGTTTCAGTTAGTCACCCTTTTTATCTGTGGAAGTCACACAATGGCGCTATATAAATAATAAAATAAAAATATCTCTTGATATTTTGTCTACCTTGTATGCTAGCATCATTACCTAGAATCCTGTTGTAGATCTAAATAGTATCCACAAGATGGAGCCTATCCTGTATGATACGACAGTTAAATAGTAGATTTGCACAAAAATTGAATTCTAAAAGATATAGGCTTATTAAAGGAACACTATAGTCACCTAAATTACTTTAGCTAAATAAAGCAGTTTTAGTGTATAGATCATTCCCCAGCAATTTCACTGCTCAATTCACTGTCATTTAGGAGGTAAATCACTTTGTTTCTGTTTATGCAGCCCTAGCCATACGTCCCCTGGCTATGATTGACAGAGCCTGCATGAAAAAAAAAACTGGTTTCACTTTCAAACAGATGTAATTTACCTTAAATAATTGTATCTCAATCTCTAAATTGAACTTTAATCACATACAGGAGGCTCTTGCAGGGTCTAGCAAGCTATTAACATAGCAGGAGATAAGAAAATCTTAATTAAACAGAACTTGCAATAAAGAAAGCCTAAATAGGGCTCTCTTTACAGGAAGTGTTTATGGAAGGCTGTGCAAGTCACATGCAGGGAGGTGTGACTAGGGTTCATAAACAAAGCGATTTATCTCCTAAATGGCAGAGGATTGAGCAGTGAGGCTGCAGGGGCATGTTCTATACACCAAAACTGCTTCATTAAGCTAAAGTTGTTCAGGTGACTATAGTGTCCCTTTAATTAAGCAAATTAAATGTCAAAATGTCTGATGTCACAACCACTTAATGCTGTCTCAGTCCCTTCTACCATACAATTCCTACTAATTCTGGCTTGTGGCATTGTTTTCAGTACCTGGCTAAGAGAACATTTTGTAAAACAGAGATGATGGAAGAATTAATTGGCAATTATTTCCCGGAGGAGCTGAATGAGCGAAAATGTGTTTATGAAGAGGAGATAGCAGAACTATCCAAGTAAGCATTACTCATCAACACTAAATTAATCATGGTTGGTCTACAGCAGGGATAGGCAACATTTTAGTAGCACTGCGCCAAAATATGATCTTGAAGTCCTATTTTTTAATTGAGGTATGTATGCTTAACTATTAATGGGTGCTGCAGTTGCTTTGTAGCGTTGTATTTGTCCGTATGGGGTTGTTATATTGTATGTCTTCATGAGTAGTTTGTGGTATTGTGTATGATACCTATGGATGTGGGCTGATTGTGGAGTTGTGTGTGCGGATGATATGTCACATTGTGTGTTTCGTGGTGTGTGTGTATGTGTTGGGCTGCTTGTGATATTGAACATGAGGGGCTGCTTGTGGTGTTGTGCGCATGTATGTGTATTCTCAGTAGGGTTGTGTTGTGGGGACTGTGTGTGTTTGTGTCTAGGTTGATTGTATTATTTGTATGAGGGTTAGTCTTATTCTGCAGCTCTGTGTATATCTAGCAGAGTGGGTGGCTTTCCTGGGGTCCAGTGTGGACCGGGATGGCCAATTACAGGTCAAGGGCCTGTGGACTGCTGTACTCCAGTGTGGATTCCCGTTCACAAGTGCTGGGAGGACGTGATCTGAGATCACTTCCTCTAAGTGCTGCAATGCATAAATTGAGTCCCTCAACACCTGCAATCACTGCTTGGTTTGGACTAGCAGATACTTGAAGGCCCACACATAGTTTCATGCACAGCTCACAAAATAAGTTAAGGCCAAAATAATCAAACTGGAAGCATGGCTGATTTGGGGAATGCTTACAGCTTGGCTATTTTGGCCTTGAATGTGACATTCCCTTTGAATTCCCAACAATTAATCATAATTCTCAATATATTGTGAAGTTTAAAACATTTTTTTTTATTACTTCCTGAGTAGTCACAGTATATCTGATCTGATCACATAGTGTGTAAATAGTGGATCAGCTGCAAACTGGGCAAGTAAGAAACAGTGTGTGGCTATGGTTAATTTACCCCACCAGCTAGTAAACTGTGTGAAGCAAAATGTACACTCATTTTCAAAACATTTTAGTGGTACTTAAAAACAGCCTTCTTTTTAATGTGCAATTTATTTGCATGTCTAACAAAAATTTTCTTTTTTTTTTTTCTATTACAGTTTGAATCATAATGTCCCCATATTTGTTTGCACAATGGCCTACCCCACTGTACCTTGTCCGTTGCACATATTTGAGCCATGCTATCGATTGATGATTCGGAGATGCATGGAAACTGGTACAAAGCAGTTTGGGATGTGTATCGGAGACACTGTGAAAGGGTGAGTGAGATGTGTAAACTATACGTATTAATATCGAGATGAACTTTCATACAGCTTAGTGATTAGATGAGATGCCTCTGAAAGACGAAAAATATTTTAGCAGTATAGAGCACTTAATTTTAGCAGATCAAATGTGCGATTACTCTTGAAGGGAAAAAAAAGGGACCCTTAAAATCCGCCAAGCGGCGTTTAAATCTTTAACATATTTTGAATCAATGTGTTTGTAAACTGCACCTGGAAACATTCTGTTTCATCTACTTGGAACCTTAACTAGAGCAGAAAATTCAGATCAAAATTTTCTCTCGGGACCAGGAAAACATTAGCTTAGCTAAGAAGCATATAGCAAAGAAACATGGCACCAAAATGATGAACACACTATCTGCCACGTCCACAAAGCATGACATCCTTGGATTGATTATAGGAAGCAACTTACATAAAATGCTCTGATTAAGTTTCCGAGAGAGGCCCATCACTCCCTTCTTTCTCTCTTTGCCTTCTACCGCTTCCTTACTCACCCTTTTAGCATCTTCTTCCTTGCTTCATTCCTTCCAACATTCCTCTTTATTTTCCTTTCATATGGTTTTTTTTTTTTTCCTTCTTGGTTTTGTGTTTTCTTATTCTTAAAAAAAGGCCCAGTGTCTGTGCATTTATGTTTTAAGACTCCTGTTTTATAAAAAATAATTTTTAATTCTTTATTTTTGAGCACAGGTAGATGTACGATATATTATTTAGACATCACATAGCAGTTCACTAATGTTAGAGTGTACAAGTCTTGAAGGATGTTACATAACGATCAGTGTAGGCTACATAGTTGGTAGCGTTACAACTTTGTGACAGTAGACATACATTCGGTACAATATGTGTGGTGGTTTTGTCTGTTATAGGGTGTAGCAGAGCAGGGTAGATTCATGGAGTGTGTGTGTGTATTCTGAGTGTGCAGGTCATGCCCATCACCTGCCATATGCAGGATTGTACCTGCCCTTAGACTCACTTTGTGGTAGCGCTCGCTATGAACGTGAAATGTCATAGTTTACCATCGCCTGGCTCAGTTTTTCATTAGTATATCCAGGGTGTAAAAGATAGAGGGATGATGAGAGGGGAAAGGGAAGCAGTAATGTTTTATAACTTTCGTGTAAAATTCTTCTAAACTGTCCTGATTTTTTTTTCTTCTTGTGTTTGCATACTCCTGCTTAAATAATAAAGAAAAAAACACCTTCACTTCTGTCGCAATCTTCAGCACTCCAGATGTTGTGAACCACACCTCCCATGATGCTTTGAGAAATTATGGGAGGTGTAGTCCACAACATCAGGAGTGCCGAAGGTTGCCAACCCCTTATCTAGTTAATATATCTATGGAATATGTTGGTATTGTATAATCCCCCCAGATAATACCAACTTCTCATGTTATATAAGCAAATGTGTATAACACCATGATTCCTATTTCAGATTTGCAGATTATGGCTGCATGCTGGAGATCAGGAATGTGGAGTTCTTTGCTGATGGCCGTTCAGTTGTAGACAGTATTGGAAGACGGAGATTTAAAGTTATACAGCACAGCCAGCGTGATGGGTACAATACAGCCGATATTGAATACATCGAGGATGAAAAGGTAGAGATGTGCAGTTTAACTATCCACCAGATCAGTAGAAATATAACGCAAATAATTACTTAATAGCGTAATCTACTAAATTAGTCCAAACTGTATGATAGACAGACAGACAAAAAAAATCCTGCTTAATAATTCTACATTAAATTTTTCTATCTATATCATGAAGTCTGACCTGAGAGCAGAGTCTTTGTTTTATAAAGTCATATAACTCGTTCCACTCAACAGATCCAAACTGAGTCACATGACCTACATAGGTCTGTAAACTATACACCTTGTAAGCTCTCCGCACCAGTCTCCTCACTTCTCATATATCTTTTCCCCACTATGACCACTAGAAGCCTATTTAAATCTCCTTGTTGGAGTCAATTAAACTTGTTGCTTTCTGTGAGCTATTCGATCAATTTGTTCATCATATTGTTAAATTACATCAGTTGCACCCCCTCTCGCTATCTTTGTGTGAATGCACATTATCCAGTTAGAATGTAAGCTCACTGGCCATTTTTCATAGCCCTTTTGTAGCAGGTATCACAGTTTTTGGATCAGTATGTTTATTTTTTTGTCTGTAACCATACCTACATTTATATACCAGAAATTTTAAAGTGCCCTGGTGGAGGTGTTTAAAAAGTGTTCAAAGAATGCATTGAAATGTTTTTATTTGGTAAAATAGTTAAGATCTAAGTAAAGTTAAATTGTAGTAATAACTTGAGTGTTTTATCTGATTACTTTAATCCGTTTTATATATCTCAGGTGCAAGGAGAGGATTATAAAGAGCTGATTAGATTGCATGACGCGGTATATGATCAGGCTTACAACTGGTTTAATTCTCTAAAACCACAACTGAGGAGTCGAATTTTAAGTCATTTTGGGCCTATGCCAGATAAGGACTCTGATCTGCAGGTAAATGCTATTTCAGTTACTATTTTACCTGTATCCACGTGGGAGAGTATTTAACACCTAAGTGTAATTGCCAATCCCAAGTTATTTGCACACCCCAATAGCTCAGTGGTTTTCAACAATTGTGCCACTTTATACATGTGGTGCATAACTGTTTATAAGTCTTGTATCTCTGTTTTTGTGAGTGCATTTGTGTGTGTGTGTGTGTGTGTGTGTGTGTGTAGCCTGGCATAGTTCTCATTCCGTGAAAGATCAGCCTTAAATCTTAAAATGTCCTGTTAAAATGTTACAATTGTTGCCCCTCCGTGCTCACCTCTGCATTTGCTTGCTTATGTTCAGTACATTATGAGAAAATTTGGCATCAACAAATTAATGTGGTGCAGTAGTAAGTGCTTTATACACTTAAGGGGACACTATAGTCAACAGAACAGCTACAGCTTAATGTAGTTTTTATTTTATTTTATAAAATATGTTACCAGGAAGGATACATTGAGATCTCTCTCGTTTTCAAGTATATCCTGGGTCCACAAAACATTGCATTGATACAATAGGGTACAATAAAATACAAAAATAATATTAATACACAATATATACAAAATGTAACATAGAACAGGTAAAAAAACATATAATCAACCATGACACATGCATTCTGTTTTGAGATATGTAGAGAGGGATCTCTTAAAGGACTTTGGGCTTGGGGAAGATTTTAAAGTGTGTGGGAGGTCGTTCAACAATTGCGGTGTTCTGTAGGAAAAGGAGGATCAAGCTGCTCTCTTTTTGTATTGTGGTATGCTAAATATCGTGCTAGTACTGGATCGGAGGTTATAGGAGGTGGGAACAGCCGGGGAGAGCATTCTGCTCAGGTAGGGTGGGAGCTTCCCAGAAAAGCTCTTAAACACAAGGCTGGAAAGATGAAGGGTGCGTCTGGATTCCAGCGATAGCCAGTTTGATTCTTTTAGCATTCTTTTTACAATGATGGGTCCTGTAATTACATTGTAGCACAAATTGGCAGAACAAGTTATACAATGTATTACGTTTATTAAGGTGGGTTTGCGGTGCAGGTGCATATACTACGTCCCCATAATCAATGTTAGCATCAGTATTTGCTGTACAATCTCTTCCTTTACTGTAGGGCTTAGGCAGGATATTTTTCTGTACAGGGCACCTAGTTTTGGATCAAGTTTAGATGCAAGTTTTTCTATGTGGAGGCCAAAAGTTAGATTGGGGTCTAACAACATACCCAAGTATTTGAAAGAGGGGACTGCGGTCAGTGTTAGATTTTGTTTTGATGCAGTGTTTTTAATTTGTGTAATTTAGGTACTGTTCCAAAGATCACTGTGACAGTTTTGTCAGTGTTTAGGAAGAGTTTGTTTTTTGCAATCCACTTTTCTACCTCTGTAAACTGGTTTTGGAGCATAGCCTCAAGCTGTGGTAGATCGGATTTGCTTGCATAGATTACTGTGTCGTCTGCGTACATGTGTACATTTGAGGATTTGCAGGCATTAGGCAGATCATTTATAAATAATGTGAAAAGTAGGGGGCCGAGAATGGAACCTTGGGGAACACCACACGTGACTGGGAGACGGAGTCACTGTTAGAAATGGACACCTATTGTGATCGATCCGTTATATATGATTGAAACCAGGTTAGCAGATGATCACCAATACCGGAGTTTTTTTTAGTTTGTGTAGTAGAATGTTGTGGTCTACTGTGTCAAAGGCCTTTGCAAAGTCAAGGAAAATAGCTCCAGTTAGGTCTCCTTGTTCCATGCCAGTTTGGATGTCATTGCAAACGTTTAAGAGGGCAGTTGTAATGGAGTGATTTGGGCAAAAATCTGATTGATCAGGGGTCAGATAGTTAGATTGTTGGTAATACTCACATAGTTGCGTATGGACGCATTTTTCAAAAATGTATGACAATACTGGGAGCAATGATATTGGACGATAGTTAGAAACCAAAGTAGTGTCACCGCTTTTATGGATAGGCACTACTCTTGCAGTCTTCCAAAGTTTGGGTATGTATCCAGACACCAAGGATTCGTTAATTATGGTTGTGACAGGTTTAGCAATTGCCGGTGCACTGAGCTTCAACAGCATTGCTGGGATTTAATCAGGTCCAGATTGTTTTCTTAATGACACTAATAGGTACTGTCTTTGCAAAATTAGTGGGGCCTGATCCACATTTGTAGTTTCAGGATGTGTCATTTATTATCTTGGCAATCAGGGTGGTGGAGCATCCGACAAAACAATTGTTAAAGGCATTTGCTACTTCTAAAGGAAGTTGCAGGATTTGGTTGTCCAGGATTTTGGTTGTCAAAGTGGACAACCAAATACTGCAACTTCCCTTAGAAGTAGCAAATGCCTTTAACAATTATTTTGTCAGATGCTCCAACACCCTGATTGCCAAGCTAATAAATTGGGAGTGGGTTGAGGGAGTTTGTAAGTTATTTATGACTTTCCAACAGCTTCTAGGGTTTGATAGCTTATTGTTCAGATTTTCACAGAAATATTGGGCCTTTTCCAATTTTGTTTGTTTAGTGCATATAATTCACCATTGTCTATATGCACAGTGATCGTTCATAGAGCCAGTACTCTTGAACTTTGACCACGAGTCCCGAAACTGGTACATTTGAATAAGGTCAGCTGTTATTCAATTCATATGTGCCCCTTTTACGCTCCCCTTACGCAGCAGGGCATGCAAATTCCAAACTTGTAGGAGTTCGGACTGAAAGAATTCAACTGCACAGTGTAGATCTGGGATAATGTTTAATCTGTGCCATGGGAGGTTCTTGATGTCATTTAGAAAGGATTCAAGATTACATTTTTTTTGAAGGACCTCATGATTTTAAGCTTGGGAGAGGATTTAGTAGCCTTTATTTTGCGCACGTAGTATCACTGAAACTGAGAACACCTGCCTCTTGGATTCTGGAGAAGTGGAGAGAATCCAGTCGCGCAGGGTATGGTTATGGATTTTAGTGTTAATGCGAGTTGGGGAGGGGATTAATTGCTTTAGCTGCAAAGTCTTAAACAGCAATCAAGTACTATTAATTTTAGGATTCGGCCAATAAATATTAAAATCTCCAAAGACCAACAGTTCACTATTTGGGTTTTGAGCTATGGTTTCACTTAGGAGATGGGCTATGTCAGAAAGGGAATGCGCTGGGGAGCTAGGTGGGCGGTAGATTCCTGCAACAATGATTAATTTACTGCACGGGATCTCAATTGTGCCAGAAAGGAAATCAAAGGTGGCAGGAGGGCTAAAATTTTGTAAGGGGGTGAACTTTATGGAATTGTCAACATAAATTACTATGCTGCCTCCTCTTTTTCCTCTGTCATTTCTATGGCATGAATACCCATGTATTGCAATGGCAGAGTCAGGTATTTCGATTCAGAGAGCACAATGATTTGGGGCTTGTAATATAAACACAATGCTTGGAGTGCATCGATTTTTGGTAGTAAGCTGCGGATATTTCAGTGCACAAAGGAGAGACCTTTTTTAGCTGGAAGGCTAGGAATGGAATCTATCTGGGGACAAGGGTTACACTCTACATCATTTGCAAGGGCAAGTAACATGAGTAATAGGAATTTGGACATAATCTTACTTTGGTAGAATTGCAATTGTAGCGGTTGGAGGGCTTGATTTTAACACTCTCCACCAGCACGCAGCAGATAAATTACAGCAACAAAGCAGGCCATGATGTATAAGAATTTGGTTTTCAGTTTGTGGTGAGTGTTGCTTAAGAGGGTAGTGGTAGGAACATGACAAGAGTGTGAATAGTGTTACAAGGAATATTAACACGGTCAAATTTGGAGCCATGTACAGGAAGGGAGGAGATGAAAACAAACATTAAGTAGATTACAATAATGCATATTTGGTGAGGAAGTAGTACTTACACTACACATATGGCTGGGGACAGAACACAAACAGAAATGCAGCAAGCTCAACAGTGTGTGGATGATGATGAGAATGTTGATTGAAGCACTGTCTGCTGTTTTCCTCCTTGTGTCCTCCTTGGTGTACCCCCTTGGTAATTATTGGAAGTTGGCACACAGATGGAATGTGGCCTGTGCACCCTATAGTCGTATGCGCCCCAGTGACTTAACTAAATGGGGCATTCCACTCAGCCTAGAGATAGTCATTTGACACATGAGATGGGAGGGACTGGACAAATAGCAGACTGCACTAATGAATCAAGTTTATCAGATTATAGGCAAAAATACATAGAATGATAATGCATTGGGAGGGGAGCAAAAAATGGGTCGCAAGAGTATTCTGAGGACGGACAGCAGCTGAAATAGCCTGCCCTTCGGTGGGTCCCCGCATTGGGAAGGTACCTAATAAGTGGGGTGCAGGGGTGAGACAAGGGTGCAGGGGTGAGACAGTCAGTGTTGCAGGGGTTGCCTGGTGAGTATAGTCAGTCCCTTCAGTTTTCTTTTTTTTTTGCTGTAAACCCGGTCTTTTCAAAGAAAAAGCAATGTGTACATTGCTTCCTAGGAAAACCTCCCATGGCAACTACTCAGATGACTACTAGCGGTGCTTCTGTGGTACTGCTGCACAATATACAGCACTGACATTCAGTGTATCAACCCTCTGTATGCAGACACTGAACTTTCCTTATAGAGATGCATTGATTCAATGCATCTCTATGAAGAGATACTGATTGGACAGGGCGGTGTTTGGCTCTGCCCCTGGCCCACCTCCTTGGCTGAGATTATCAGAATTGACAATCCAATAGGAAAGCATTGGATTGGCTGAGATAATCACTTCTGATGATGTCAGCCAAGGAGGCAGATCAGATTTAGAGCCAGCACCAGCAGACTGCAATAAAGGTAAGATTTTACTATATTTGGGGAGTAAAGGTGGGTAGGGGGGCTAGATAGTGTTTTTAACACTGTAGGGTCAGGAATACGTTTGTGTTCCTTTTACTCTACTACACTTCTTAAAACATGCTTCATTAGCATTTATTAGGACAAAGGCATTGGGAATGGTCACTTCTGAAAAGTACCCTTGCAATTACATTTTATTTACATCTTTCAGAAAGTTGCTTTTGTAGACATAAACTGCAGTGGAAATTTGATTGACTTACACAGCAAATAATTCAATGCTACTTTGCCCTTTATGTTTTACAGATAAACCCAAATGGGCCTGCATGGTGTTGGTGGATTCTTGCAGTTCTTCCTCTCGAGAGCCGGGCCCAACTCCCGTTTCTCGCCATGACCTCACTAAAGGATCGTCTGACCAGCATCAAACGTGTTTTACTGTTTATGCGCCGGTCTCGTCCACGATAAATCTACTATACACATCTCTCATTCTGTTGTTTTCATACTTACTTGCCAATAACTAATATTGGGTTTCAAATTGTGAAGGATACTAGACTGTGCTCCGTTCACTTATCAACAATTTTTTTTCCCTCCAATTTTAAAATGTTTTTTTTTTTAATTTGATTTATAAAATAGAGCAAGACAAAACTTAATTGCACATGCCTTATTTTATTATTAATCAATTATTTATAGATATTTGCAACATGTTTGGGGCCATTCACTGGATTGAACACATTTTTTTAAATTTTATTTTATATAAAGTTTTGTTATACAAAACAAGAATTTGTACAGTGATGTGTATATATAATCATGATCACCATTTATGCCTGCTAATTTATTTTTTCTCTGCACACCAATTATCTTGTATCCTGCTTTTTTGTACTTGATTTGTTATAAGAAAATATAAATGACCAATTCAATGTTATGTACTTTGTGTGTTATAGTTTCTATTTAATGGTGTTCAAAGGGAAAGTCTATTATTTAATTTCAAAGTGGCGCTTTGGGATATGACTCTTCTTATTGGTTAAATTGATTTAATACTCATTACAATCACAAAATAACTTGATTATGTTTTGTGTAAATGTTATATAATGCATATTTTTCTTTTGAAATTATTTTGTTCATTATGCTTTTGACAATATAATTTTGTACCAGTTGCTAAATATTCAGCCAACAACATCCAACAGCCATGAATGGCCAACGCGTTTCCAGTATAGAACAGTGTGGCTCCCATTGATGATGCAATATGATCTCTCCTTTTGTGAAAATGTTTACAGAACAGTGTACTGTCACTTTTTCAATTAAGCTATTTGTATTAATTTCCTCTGTACATACTAGTTAGTTAATGTTTGTTTTGTACCATAACACTGCACTTTACATTACTAGTTGTACAATGGCAAAGTTGAAGGGCACAACAGCACTTTTTGAGAAAGTTGTTATAATAGAACAAGTACAATAACATGAATAATATATTTTCTTGGAATCACTGATTTGTTATTTAACAATCAACTTGTCTTGGTATTTTTTTTTTCCAGTTTTATTAAAGAAAAGAGACATTGCATCACAAAATTCAGTTGAATAATGTTAAAAAATAACTAACAGAGACGGTATTATAAGGTCTATTATCTGCTAGTAGTATGAAGCAGAAATACCATACCAGAATCGCCATTAGTGCAGTAAAGACATCACTAAGGGCTCATGGGAAAAATAAAAATTATCAGGCATGAATTTGCCTGTGAGAAAACATCCACATTCTCATGGAACGTAACTCTGGTCTGCAGTGTAACGTGTATCCAAAAAGTGAAAATAAAGGGAACACAGAGGGAAAATGGAAGAAAAATCAGAATGTGAATATGAGAAAAAGGAAGAAAACAAAAAGGGCAAATGCAATAATGTTGCAATCCTAACGCTTGCTATAGAATGAAAACTAAATCACGTTCCGTTTCGATGAAATATATGCATGTGTTTAATCCACCCAGAAAAAAAACACAACCCCACAAGAAACACATTAACCACTCCCAAAAATAGGATGAGTACTGAAGATAAGCCCCTGAATAGAAGAAAGCAGGAAATCTACTCCTAGTAACATGGTAATAGGCTAGCTCAGTGGTTCCCAAACCAGTCCTCGTGGTCCACCAACAGTCCAGGATTTATGTATTTCCCGGTTTTATTCCAATGGAGATACTAACAAAACCTGGACTGTTGGTGGGTCTTGAGGACTGGTTTGGAAAACGCTGGGCTAGCTGCACAGTGACTAACTTGTGGCACCAACACAATCTGGCATTAGTAGATTAACAAAACACCACACAGATAAACAGAACATATTAAAAAACAATAGCAATGTCAGCCTCCCATAGCCAGAAAAGGCCACTCAGCCTCAGTGACAAAAGATAATTGCCATATCACAATATTAAAGATCATGAAATTTGGCAGTGAGGTCAGTACCAAGTTTAAGTATAGGATTCTACTACTTCAGTCTACACCCTGTCTTGCACACCCTGTCCTGAAACTCTCTCCCTGATGAGTATATATAGCTCAAGCCCACTGGAGGATAGAGAAATATTGATCCAAGGAAACTGAAAGATACTAAGACACCATAACAACATGGCCTGGGTGCTCAGGTTATGGATTTCTGTTGCACTTTCTATAATCTCTGTGCTATGGTACACACGTCTAGCCGAATCTCTCAAACATAGTAAGTTGGACCGAAATGCGTCCATCTGGGTTAGAACATTTATTTTGGCTGTGGAAAGCAGTGTATGGGGCAATAATATCCTTGTGTAGAGGAGCATTACTACTCTGCAAATGTTATGGTTTGAAGGACAGATGGCCCCTCTAGATCGTGATATTAGATGGATTTAGTCAGACAATGATGGAGAGATCTCTACTGCCTCCGATGGTAGCCAAGCTCCATCCCTGCATTTATATTTTATTCATAAGTGCAGAATAACTTTCATCCAAAGTCTTTATAATGCAATTAAAATAAAATGGTGTACTGATAAAATGTAAAAGCCTTGGACCACAATGACCGCAAACCTTCCAGATGCAATTGTTTATTAAATGTTTTTCCTTAAAGACTGGCTGTAAATTGTAGGAAATGTAATCTACAAACATCTGCAGTACCAAAGTTATTTATACTTGGACTTCACTGTAATAGAGACTAGAAGGCTTGACCAGAATACTGAGCCTGGATTCTTTATGATATCATCATATCATGCAATGTTTCCAGCCTAAATTGGGTATAAGATTATGGCCACATGGACAAAATATTGTGTTTTTCCTTGATGAACATGAGTACATTTAATGACTAAATGGAAAAGTTGATGCTTTAAGACAACATAGGAAAAAATCCTTTAGAGTTATTTACTAAACTGCAAATTCATTCTGAATGCAAAACCTGGACATTGTTTAAGCTATTTAACAATGTATGGATTTTGCTAACCAGGCTCTGAACCAGCCTGAATTAGGACTGAATTTTTAACCAGACAGCTGAAATTTGGACCGCAATGCTTTAAATGGAGAAATCCAAACAATTGCAAGAGTTAAAGAAATATGTGCACTGTACGGTTTAACCAGATGGCAGCTGTCAGTGCTTGAGAGCTAGACACCAAATTAAAATATGAAGTTTGTTTAAAAAAGCCAATGGGTGTCAATATGAGGGATCTGTAAGGGAGGTTATAAACCTCTCGCATGCTTTCACCTGCAATGCCGCTGGTGGGGTATACGCAGGGCCAGATTAAGAGCCCAGTGGGCCTGGTGCTGACAATTCTGATGGTCCTAGTTACAAATTTTTTTGACCAAAAATACTAAAACAGTCCTACCTCCTAAGCGTCATGTATCTGATGGAGATGGTGCTGGAGGGAAACTCATAGGATGCAGCTATGAGAAAACACATACCAACGCTTTCATCTTTCAAGTAAACCCATACCCCCTAACAGCAGTGTCCAGTAAAGCAGGAAGTCTATGGACGGGGCAAAAGGGTGGACCACTGACACAAATCACATAACCAGAACTGCCGAAAGAGGCAAACATACACAAAAAGGGGGCATGTCTGTGTCCCCATGTCTCCCAGTCCCTTAGTGTCTGTGTCCCCATGTCTCCCAGTGTCCCTATGTCACTAGGACACTAGGGGACATTGGGACACTGAGAGACCTGGGGACACTGAGACTCGTGGGGAAACTGGGAGACATGGGGACACTGGGTAACTTTGAGACATGAGAGGACACTGGGAGACATGGGGCACTGAGACACTGTGATACATAGGGGTCACTGATATATATGGGAAAACTGGAAACTTGATAAAGAACTGGGTACAGGTCAAAATGTGGGGGTATCCAATAAACCCGCTTAAATCTATCACAGTGAGTGCCTGAGATTTTTTTCTTTTATACTAGGGGACACTGAGACACTTGGGGGCGCTGTGAGACATGGGGACACTGGGAGACTAGGGGACACTGAAACACACCAGGGATACTGGGAGACATGGGGCACTGAGACACTCTGATACACAGGGGACACTGTGATACATAAGGCACACTGGAGACTTGATAAAGACCTGGTTACAGGTTGAAACGTTGCGGTGTCCAATAAATTTGCTTAAATCTATCACCGCGTAATAATAACTACCTATTTCCAGAGCTAAAAGACTCTGAATGTTGGTGTTAGCTGGAAAGAAACACAAGATGAAGAAATGTATGCTCTTTGATAGAACGCTGCACACCACTTATTTTAATGGTCAGATAGCAAACCCAAAGCCAACTTGCTATACCTCTACCTACTCAGAAAATAGATGATATATGCAGAAATAGATAAAGAATATAAAGTTGTCCAAATGCTGTAACTTCTTATCCCTGCCTCTCTCCACACAAACAGCGACCCCTACTGGCTGGCGCTGGTATTGCAGAATAATCTCTGTTTATATTGAGATAGACATTTGTATTGCCAGTATTACTGTAATACCGGCACCGGCTAGGCAGCCTCAAATACCTGATAAAATTATTATTATTTTTAAATCAATGGGCCTATTTCATGGGCCTGGGCCTGGAGCTCCATCAGCTCCTATGTTAATCTGGCCCTGGGTATACGGTGAGCAGCTGCTCATTGTAATAATAAAAGGACTCTGAGGATGGGGTCTGTAAAAGCAATGGGGGTGATGTGAATTGTCAGACAGTTGGGTTTTTATCTATCCAGACAACTTCCAGTGTTTAATTAATTATCTGATAAATGATTAAAATTATTACAGTCCCAAACATGTAATTATCCCGCGGTATATCAATGAAGCATCAGACATTTTGTTTTCTGGTGCAAACTTGTTCTGCTTTATAGTAAGTGTGAGGGACTGGTGGTACCCTGCTTGAATAGGTCCTGCATATAAAATGTTTCTGTATTCTGAGTGTCCTATTCTATTATATACATATATTGTATCAAGCTGGCCTCAATGCAGCCATACATCATGCTTATAAAACATCCTCTTCTACCATTTACTAGTAAAGAAGTGCCTAATGTTTAAATATTATCCCTTATTACCCCATATGTTGCTACAATGCCTCGGTTTATCTTTGTGGAAATCCACAAACAGTAAAATGTTCCCTTATTTAATATGGTAATTGCCTTTTACACAATATTCTGCCGCCAAGAGATTATATTGCTGCACTGAGGAAACAGGCCATCACTTTACAGTTAAAGGGACCCTATAGTCACCCAGACCACTTCAGCTCAATGAGGTGGTCTGGGTGCCAGGTCCCTCAGGTTTTAACCCTTCAGATGCAAACATAGCAGTTTCAGAGAAACTGCTATGTTTACATTTGGGGTTAAGCCAGCCTCTAGTGGCTGTCTTCCAAACAGCCATTAGAGGCGCATCTGCAATGATTACGGCATATTATGCCTCAATCATGCAGAGCGTCCACAGGAAAGCATTGACGTCGGAAGAGGATGCTGACGGCGGGGGAGGAGAGGTAAGGGAGCCCGGCGTGGAATTAGGTGAGCTACTGAAGGAGTTTTAACCCCTTCAGCGCCACAGGAGGGAGACCCTGAGGGTACTCTGTGTTGGTGGGAGTGTACTGTTTGTGAGGGGTTCAAGTCTGTGAGGCTGTACTGTGTTCAGGTGGTGAAGAGAGTGGGATAGGAAAGAGCTTTACAATTTTTATTTTTAAGGGACACTATAGTCACCCAGACCACTTCAGCTCAATGAACCGGTCTGGGTGCCAGGTCCCTCTGGTTTTAACCCTTCAGATGCAAACATAGCAGTTTCAGAGAAACTGCTTTGTTTACATTTGGGGTTAAGCCAGCCTCTAGTGACTGTCTTCCTGACAGCCACTAAAGGCGCATCTGCGACGCTGGAGGCATACTATGTCTCCATCGCGCAGAGCATCCATAGGAAAGCACTGAGAAATGAGACGTCGGACGGGAGAGCTGACGTTGGCGGGGGAGGAGAGGTCACCAGCGCCGAGGGAGCCCGGTGCTGGAATAAGGTAAGTGGTTGAAAGGGTTTTAACCCCTTCAATGCCACGGGAGGGGGACCCGTAGGGTGGGGGCACCCTCAGGGCACTATAGTGTCAGGAAAACTGCTTTGTTTTCCTGACACTATAGTGATCCTTTTATAATTGCCTTGCAGGGAGCGGTTGGCACCATCAAATATGTGGTGGTTTAGAAGGCTGCCTATCCATCGGGTACAGGGGAGGTCATGAGATGAGAGGTATCTCTCTTGAAGCTCAAGCACTTACACAGACTGACCCATACACCCATACTGTTCGTGCCTTTTTGGATTCTTTGGATTCTTATGGCCACAGTTCGAACTTTCGAAGTGGCACTTCAAACTCCCGAACAGTCGAAGTGGCCACCATTCGAACACATGGTGGCGGCCATCTTGTTTGCATTGACCTAAACTGCGAATAGACTTCAGGGGGACTTAGCCGCAAATGACCTAGAACTATTTTCGGCATGAAAACCTTGTGGTTCCCGGTCGGTTCTCCAGCAGCACTTAGCCGCGATTCTATGGAACTGTTTTAGGCATGGGACCATGCAAAACAATGACTTCCATAAAATGTCTGAACCCCTGATCTGGGTGATTTTTGGATATGTTGTTCACCCAGATCAGGGTTATGTAACATTTATGGGGATATGTTGTATTGTGGGGTACTTATATAAAAAAAGTGTTTTTTCTGCTTGGAGATAATTAAGTTAATGCATTATCTGCCTTAATTATCTCCCAGGCAGATGGGAGAGAATGTGTATATTGTATGGGAGTTTATCACTGTATAACTCTGTTTTCATTGGTTTGTTAATTTTGTGTCCCTGTGCCCAACGGGGTCCATGTGGGTGTCACCCTTGTTGGGAAACTTGCATAAAAGCCAGTGTGCCTCCATTAAAATCGAGTTCCTGCTTACCCTCTCATCTCATGTGTGGGGGAAACGGCTGTATCTCCCCTGGGAATTGCTATATTACTATATTCCCCTGGGATTATAATCATCAGCTCTTTTAAGAGCTGTTCCTGCTATGCTCTCTCTCTGGAGTAGGAGAGGTTCACCCACAGGAAGCTGGATCCTGGTGTTGGGTGGAGGACGGAGAGTTCCCAGCCAAGCTGTAACGCTGGACGTGGGGACTACAGTGCTGATGGTATCTGGTGGAGTGTTTGGAGACCTCGGTGAGCACTAGGAACATCGACTGACAGAGGCACACGGTCGGGGTGCCAGGCAGTCCGTCACACACACACAAACAGACTGAAACCCCCACACAATCTTCGGTTCTTTCTCCTCCTCTTCGTGGTCAACTGTTGATCTCATATGTATGCCCTTTTAAACTTATCTCTGCCATCAGTGTGACAAGATGGGTACACTGGATACTTGGACTGGCCAGTGTGGAAGGTTCCTTTTTGGTGCACATTTTGTTTGGCAGCTTTAGATCTTGGTGGTTCTCTGTTCGATATTCTGGAAGCAGCTGATTGGTCGCATAAATCAACTTTTGGTACGTTCTTTTTTCGTTCCCTTCATCAAGCTTAATTTGTTTTTGTTTCTAGGTGTTAAAATGGCAAAATATGAAGCCTCCTGTCTTGCTGTAAAATTTGGGATTATTCTAGCCTTGGTGTTCGAATAATGTAAATGTTATTAAAGACAGGAGGCGAATATTTTTCCCTCCTTCCTCTACCCCTTTTCTGTTTTCTTTTATTTCCATACAACAGAACTGTTTATTGCTTATGGTTTTCTATGTGGACAGGCAGGTCTGTGTAGTTGTTGCATTGTATTACTGCTCTTGATCAGTTAATTACTCATGTGTTTGACTGCATTTAGTTTTCTGCAGCTTAATTTCACTATTTTCTTTTTTCCTTTCAGTTTAATCTGGAACTGAACGGTTTCCTGTGGTTCTTATTTATCGGAATCTTTTGCTCTGTTTTGGTTGATCTTTGAAATATAATACTCTCCTGCTGGACCTCATCAAATGAAGAGGTAGTGGAAGTGTACTGTTCTGAGTTTTATATGCCTATCCTTGTAATGATTGTTTGTTTTCTGATACTTGTCTCAATTGTTTGCTGCTGGAGGTGTCAGTAAAGAAGGTTTAAGAAAAATATTTGTCTCCAGTCTTTAATAAAATTTAGATTATTCAAACACTAAGGCTGGAATAATCCCTAATTATCCCTATTTTGACCTTAAATTTGAAATTCATTTTGAACTTGCTTTAAATTTTCACATTAATAAATAACTCTGCAAGTAGTGCTCAGTGACAAACATATTTATATGATGTGTAAAATTACAATTACTTATTAAAATAATGCTTTATTATTATATATTCATAACCAGTAAAATTTTATAAATGAGGATGAAATAGTTCACAACAAATAAAATTTGCTACATTTAACAACTGGTGTGTATTTAAAGAGACCTAAAAGTCTATTATTGTGCTTTTTCTTGGAATTATCCTAGTTTGTAAGTTGTGCCTGTATTAGGAACAGGTAGTTACTATACATAGTGTGCATTCTAGTGGCCATAATTGGTATTGCATTGGATACTTGGATTTAAGCTTTTTACATCTATTGAGTCTTTTTGTCAGTTACTTTTACACAATACAAAAAGTATTTTTTTTTTTTATCAAGAAAAGTAATTAAGAGATAATAAATGTATCTCTTCCAAGTAGTTTTTCAATATTTGTACTTTCTTTGCTCTTGTTAGTGCAGTACATCTCCATTAATATTTGTTAATAACGTGGACACATAAGCAGGAGAAGGAGAGAGGGACCATGATGCAGGTCATCCCACCTCACCACTAAAGCCCATACTCCTCCAAATCACTCTCACAGGTGAGAGGGAGAACTGTACGAGTGTTGGGGGGGGGGAGGAGGGGGATCTACTATAGTCTCATATTATTATTGCCATTTATATAGCACCAACAGATTCTGTAACGATTTACAATATTACAAGAGGGGGAGATTTAACAATAAATGAGACTATTACAAAAACTTACAGGAACGAGCTTACAGTCTATAGTAGGTGGGGTATCAAACACATTAGGACAGGAAATATCAATCAAATAAGGTGGGAGTGAAGCAGAGCTGGAGGAGAGAGTAAAGTGCTGTCCTATAGGAGAGAGTAAGAGACGGGTATGTGAGGTAGAGGTTACTCTGGGAGGCCATAAGCTTTCCTAAAGAGATGGGTTTTAAGGCACTTCTTAAACGATTGAAGACTAGGGGAGAGTCTGATGGTGGTAGGCATGCTATTAACTAGGAAGCGAGCCGCCCGCGAGAAGTACTTTGAACTTACTCCTATAAGATACAGGAAGCCAATGTAAGGACTGACAGAGGGGTGAGGTGTGAGATGAGCGACTGGAGAGGAAAATCAGTCTGGCGGCAACATTCATTACAGACTGTAGCGGGGCAATACGACTTCTGGGAATACCAATTAGGAGAGGATTACAATAATCCATGCGAGAGATTACTAGAGCATGGACAAGCTCCTTAGTAGCACCTTGCATAAGAAAGGGGCGGATGCGGGCAATGTTTTTAAAGGGTGTTTTAAAATCACCAGAACAACTATAGCTTATCGTATTTGTTCTGGTGAGTCGAATCATTCTCTTCAGGCTTTTTGCTTCAGAGAAAATGCAGTGTTTACATTACAGCCTAGTGATAATTCCACTGGCCACTCCTTACATGGTTGCTAGAAGTGCTTCCTTGGGCAGTGCTGTGGAGTAAGCAGCACTGCTATTCAGTGTCTCCACCCTCTGCAAGCAGACACTAAACTTTCCTCATAGAGATGCATTTATTCAATTCATCTCTATGAGGAGATGCGGATTGGCCAGGGCTGTGTTTGACTTGTGCTGGCTCTGGCTCCTTGACAGTCTCAGCCTATCCTATGGGGAAGAATTGTTATTGGCTCAGACCACCACTTCTGATAATATCAGCAGACAGAGCCAGTTCAGGGGCAGAGGCAGCAGCTTCAGACTTCAATATAAGTAAGATTGTATTATATTTAGGGAGGCAAAATGGGTGGTTTTAACATTATAGGGTCAGGAATACATGCTTGTGTTCCTGACCCTATAGTGTTCCTTTAAGGTAGCATCGACAGGATTTGGTAACAGACTGGATGTGAGGCTCAAATGCAGTTTGATTAAATTTGTATAATTGTAAAGAGCTATTAAAGACTGTATGTGGTCGGTGTTATATAAATAATAATGAGCTGTGGTCAGGACTGTGTGGGGAAACATTACGGCCACTTCCATGGATGCACTGTAACCAATTAGTATAGAGGAGGTATATACTAAGCATGTCAGTCAAATCATTAAATAGTTCACATACACTTGCTATATAAACTGAGCAAGACATGGAAGCACATGAAATCAGAAATGAGCTGCATTACAAATTGAACCCCATCCGACTGTACAGCAACAATTAAAGGAGCACTATAAGGTCAGCAACACAAACATAGATTTCTGATCCTATGGTATTAAAACCACCATCTAGCCCCCGGTCCCATCTTGCCACACTTAATATAGTAAAACTTGTATTCAAGTCTGAAGCTGCTGGCTCTGCCCCTGTTTACCTGTTAACTGCCCATGTCTGCTGACATCATCAGAAGTGGTGGTCTGAACCAATCACAACGCTTCCCCATAGGATTGTCTGAGACTGTCTAGGGGGTATATCAGGGGCAGAGCCAGCACAAGTGAAACACAGCCCAGGTCAATCAGCATCTCCTTATAGAGATGAACTGATTTAATGAATCTCTATGAGGAAAGTTCAGCGTCTGCATGCAGACAGTGGAGACACTGAATGTTGTGATGCAAACTAGGCAGGACAGCTTAGGGAAGCAGCTTTAGCAGCCATCTGAGGAGTGGCCAGTGGAGTTATCACTAGGCTGTAATGTAAACACTGCATTTTCTCTGAAAAGACAGTGTTTACAGCAAAAAGCCTGAAGGTAATGATTCTACTCACCAGAACAAATACAATAAACTGTAGTTGTTCTGGTGACTATAGTGTCCCTTTAAATGTAATCTTGAGAAGGAATAAGATTACTCAGAGCCCTAGGCAGGTTACATAGTTGTGTGTGTACATATTTATCTAAAAGCAGTACACTACAGCAGGAGTAGGCAACCTTTCACACTACACCTCCAATAATGCTCTTACAGCCACAATGCTTGCAAAGCATAATCGGAAATGTAGTCCAGAATATCTGGAGTACAAAACGCTGCCCCCGCACTACAGTACACAGGTTACAAGACGAGGCTTGGCCTAAAAAAACCATTGCTATCACAGTAACTATCCACCCTACATGCTCATTAAAGGGGAACTCCAGTGCCAGGGAAACAATCCGTTTTCCTGGCACTGCAGGTCCCCCATCCCCGGTTGCTGAAGGGGTGAAAACCCCTTCAGGTCACTTACCTGAGACCCCGCCAATGTTCCTCGGCGGTAATTTCTCCTCGCCGCTGCTCCTCCCAGTCTTTACGTCGGCCGGTGGGCAAGACTGATCCCGCCCACCAGCTGGGGAGACCTAATGCGCATGCACATTAGAGCTCCCCATTGGAAAGCATCGAAAATGCTTTCCTATGGGGAATTGAGCGACGCTGGAGGGCCTCACACAGCGTGCTATAGAGCAGGAAGTGCCCTCTAGTGGTTGTCTAGTAAACAGCCACTAGAGGTGGAGTTAACCCTACAAGGTAATTATTGCAGTTTATAAAAAAACTGCAATACAGTTGCAGCGTTAAGGGTAGTGGGAGTTGGCACCCAGACCACTCCAATGGGCAGAAGTGGTCTGGGTGCCTGGAGTGTCTCTTTAAGCTTGTTGTGAAGCAAGGCTTCCCTCTAAGAACACGTGACTTTCTGAGAAGTGGTCACGTGATGCTTGTCAGTAGCTGAGACACAGTGACACATCCCAAGGCAGACTGGAGTCATTCTCAGTGCACACCACCTAGTGGCCATTGCTGGTATTGGACTTATTGTAAAAAAAATAAAAAAAATAAAATTATTATGGAACCTCTTCACTAAACAGTGAAACGTTGTGAACTGAAAACGGTATTGAAACTTTAGGCCAAAATTGCTTTTCCAACTCAGCTTTAGTCACATATTACCCTTTTAGCCTGTATTTTGCATTTCAGGTTTAAATGTATTGTTTAGTCAATAACCGTTAAGACCCCATTCTTGATAGACAATGCCATTGGTTTAAACAGTTTTAAAAACAGACACGTGCTTTCTGATAAGTTATACTGCAGCATTAAATATAACCTATTCTCAGCCACCTCTTACTGGACATACTGCTGCTGAAATGGTAGATCCATGTGAGACAGATAAATCCATATAGTCTATTATACACAGTGAGCTATAATAAAGACACACAATACTGCAATAATCCTGCTCAGTCCCACTTACAGGAGACCCCAGCACGGTGTGTGTTAATAGAAATAATGGCTTGTACTTGCAGTGCTCAGTGTGAGATGGTGAATGTGCGTCATTCCTCCATGGGCTGGAACCCAGACAATCAGCCCAGGCAGACAGAGGATGAGCTCAGTGCGAGCTGGTCTCAGGGAGCCTCGGGCTGTGATACACTCCCAGTACTGTAGGGGGCGCTAGACTTTGTATTCACACCATACTGAGCGCCAGAAAGGAAGAGGGGCCTAATTATTCCCAGGGAAAGCAGCGCTTTCCTCCAGGATTCTTCCCTGGGAGCCGAGCATTCCTCCCGCACACAGTGTAGCAGTGAGCCAGTGATAGATTGTATCCTGCGCGTTCCAACGTTCCATTGAATCAGCGCAGGTCCTGGCTCACATTGCTCCAGGGGATCCCGGGCACATGGGGCGTTCTACAGCCAGCCAGGTTATATAAGAGCTCTCCGGGTCCCAGCTCGGCTCCCACACACACAGCATGTCTGAAGGCCTGTACGAGAAGTTCCTGGCTCCAGACGAGCCCTTCCCCCTCCTCTCCCAGCGCGGCAGCGTGAGCGAGGAGGGGTGCCTGGATGTCAGTGATTTTGGATGCCAACTCTCATCATGCCACCGGACCGACCCCTTGCGACGTTTCCACTCTAACAGGTGAGTAAATATTAACCTCAAAACATTGCAGTCTCTGTTCTGGGGGGCGATTTATAAAATAATATTTTGAGGTGGTGATGGTTAAAATGACTAATCTGTGATAAATCAATGACCCTTTTAAAACGTGGCCAAAAGGTACACACCCCATTATTATGGCACTACAACTCTTTGATGCCCTGCCAGCCTTAAATAGGGACTGTTGCCAATGGGGTTTGCACAGCCAAATGGCTAGTTATTGGCTCTTCCCCCCCTTTTAGGCACTCTCTTTAAATTTCTGCCCAAGGCATCATAGGTGACAAACTCAACCACAACATGGAAGTGCAGCAGAGGTTGGTTAGTTAGTTATTTTTATGCTACTATAGTGTTTACTGGGATGAAGGAATTAAGAGCTGTTAAAGTTTATCATTACGCTTGGAAGAGCATCTTTGAAGTTGTATTTTTGCGATATCTACATTTCCTCCATGCTTTATTTTAACTTTTAAGTTGGTGTGCAAGCATTTTCTTATTTCTTCCCCTGAAATCCTAATTCCTATGCTAATGTTTTACATTTGGAATTGACATACATATTAACAATTTAAGCATCATGGATGGTTTGGTTTCTACATGCAAAATCTGAATACCCTTCAAAGGACAGGCAAACAAAGCATTTTAAAGGAATGCTTCACGTTGAATGTAGATAATGCATATAATAAAAATAAACACACCCCCTATGATGGTCTTAAAGGACCACTATAGGCACCCAGACCTCTTCAGCTTAATGAGGTGGTCTGGGTGCCTGGTCCATCTAGGGTTAACACTTTTTTCTATAAACATAGTTTCAGAGAAACTGCTATGTTTATGTTAGGGTTAATCCAGTCTCTAGTGGCTGTCTCATTGATAGCCAGGCCAGGACCGGCCATCGGGCACACTGGGCAAATGCCCGGTGGGCCGCGGTGGCCACGGGCCGAGGCCGGCAGGGGAGGTCCCAGGATCTCTCCTGCCGGTCTTTGCAGGGCCGGCAGTAGTCTACAGCGGGCCAGATGGGAGATCAGAGATCTCCCTCACCGGCCCACATGCAGGATATTGTGGCCGCCGGGGGAGAGAGGGAGGGAGCCAGCCTGCCAGCAGATGAACCCGGCGGAGCTTTAACTGACAGCTCCGCCGGGTTCCTCTCGCGAGATTCGGAGCGTTGCCATGGCAACGCTCCGGGTCTCGCGAGAGTGAACTCTAGCCCAACAGGCTAGAGTTCACTCACCACTAGGACCACCAGGGATGGATGGCAGCCCCAGCAGCAGGATCCCCCCTCCCAGGCATAAGGTAAGCAGGGAGGGGGGGATATAATCACTCAGGGCACAGCAGCCTCACAGACACCCCTAACACTGCACCCCTGACACTCACAGCACCCTCACTCACACACACTGCACCCCTGACACTCACAGCACCATCACACACACACACTGCACCCCTAACACTTACAGCACCCACCCACACACACACTGCACCCCTAACACTCACAGCACCCACACACACACACACACACACACACACTGCATCCCTGACACCCCTGACACTCACAGCACCCTCACTCACACACTCACATAAACTGCACCCCTGACACTCACAGCACCCTCACTCACACACACTGCACCCCTGACACTCACAGCACCCTCACTCACACACTCACACACACTGCACCCCTGACACTCACAGCACACACACACACACACCTGCACACACACACACACTCACAGCACCCCCTACAGCACACACACTACCCCTGACACTCACAGCACCCCTCAGCACCCTGGGCACACACTGCACCCCTAACACTACAGCACACTCACACACACTGCACCCTGACATCACACCCCACACACACACACACACTGCACCCTGACATTCACAGCACTCACACACACACTGCACCCCTGACACTCACAGCACCACTCACAGCACACACACACTGCACCCCTGAGCATCACAGCACCCTCACACACCTGTTCCCCTGCACACAATCACAGCACCCCTGACACTCACTGCACACTCACTGCACCCTGACACTCACTGCACACTTCACTCACCCTGACACTCACTGCACACACTCACTGCACCCCTGACACACACTGCACACCCTGACACTCACTGCACACACACACTGCACCCCTGACACTCACTGCACACACACACTGCACCCCTGACACTCACTGCACACACACACTGCACCTCTGACACCCACAGCACCCTCACACACAAACTGCACCTCTAACACTTGCAGCACCCTCACACACTCACATAAACTGCACCCTGATACTCACAGCACCCTCACCCACACACTAACACACACTGCACCCCTGACACTCACAGCACACACACACACACACACACTGCACACTGACACTCACAGCACACACACACTGCACCCCTAACACTTACAGCACCCTCACACACACACACACACACTGCACCCCTGACATGCACAGCACACATTCACTGCACCCCTGACACACACTGCACCCCTAACACTTACAGCACCCACACACACACTGCACCCCTGACACACACAGCTTCCTCACATGCACATAGCACCCTCACGCAAACACAGCACCCAATCACACACAGCACACACACACAGCACCCTTACCCACATAGCACCCTCATGCAAACACAGCACCCATCACTCACACACTACACACCTCACACACACTGCACCCCTCTCGCACACACACACACAGCACCCTCACACAGCACAATGTCTCCTGGTATCCCAACTATGGAGACACCAGAGACAAATTTCAAGCAAACACAGTGCCAGCATGTTGTTGGATTTGCTTGTGCTGTGCAGAACAAATACAGGGTCTTTTTCTCATGCCAGAGCTCTTCAGCAGAGCTCTGCGCATGGTCTACCATGGAAGAGCATTGAACCAACATGCTCACTTTGTGATGGGGCGTGCTTGTCTGGCCCGCCCCCTTTGTAGTGGGCCGCTGTAATTAAAAAATGCCCGGGCCGAATTTTCTTCCCAGTCGGGCCCTGTTGACAGCCGATAGAGGGCTTCCGCGTTTCTCACTGTGAAAATCACAGTGAGAAGACGCCAGCGTCCATAGGAAAGCATTGTGAATGCTTTCCTATGGACTCGCTGAATGCGCGTGTGGCACCTGCCGCGCATGCGCATTCAGCCGGAGAGGAGGCGGAGAGCTCCCTGCCCGGCGCTGGAGAAAGAGGTAAGTTTAACCCCTTCATCTCCATACAGCCTGGCGGGATATAGTGCCAGGAAAACGAGTGTTTGTTTTCCTGGCACTATAGTGGTCCTTTAAACCTACTCCCGATTCTTGAGATTTATATCTTCTGCAATGAGCTCTCAACAGAAAGTTGGATGCTGTCAGCTAATCCTTGAGTTGTATAGTTATATTAATTGTGTACTTGTTATTTATTAAAAAAAAAAACATAAAAACACAAAATTAAGCTATTTCATGCAACAGTGCAGCTTTTATGTTTTTTTGTACACTTTCATGCTTTTGAAAGTGATAATGAAGTCATCTCAGTCACGCAAGCAGTCATTCCAGCTCTCTCATATGAAGCTGAGAGTCCATACTACCTTTCAGTATATCATACTTATGACATTTTAAATTGGTACTATTGCAGCCAAATTGGAAAATCCACACATACAGAGAGGGGTGGAAGGAGGCGGCTATCCTTTATAGTTACATAGAGCTTGCTGAATTTAGTATTCAATGATAAAATTAATTTATACTGGCATGGAACTTGCCTATGACCAATCAGCAAATTAATTAATCTTCTCTAGCCTCTTATGTGTTTTAATGTAATTGTGTTCACCTCTCTTAAATTAAACTCAGGAGAGTCCCATATAGTGCTGCCGATCTCTGCTCACTAATTAACAGCCAAAGAATACTCTGAGAATCATCAACTTCTGCGTGAGAGCAGACCTTTCAAGGGACACTCCAGAGTCATGTAACTGCGTCATTTCAATTAAGTCATTCTGCTGTCTGGAGTCACCAGGATAATCCTTCCATTCAGAGTTAAAGGGACACCTATAGGCACCCACACCACTCTATCTTTTTTTTTGACAATCTTTGTTTATTGAGAACATTTTTTTTTTTTGCATATCAACGTACTTTGCGGTACAGACAAGAAATAATGGAAGTGGGGTGTACAAGATTGTAAAATTGTAAAACAAGCATTGACAATTGTCAGAGCGGTGATATATAACTTTCCAGTAATATCATGTACATTTAAATTACATTTTGTTTTGCTTATTAAATGTAGCAAAATTAGAGATGGATAGGCTCCTCACTAGTTCAGAGTTTAAAGTGAGCGTGTTAGCTTAAATAACTTTACATTAATCGATATAGAGAATGCCACCACCGCCCGCTGTATTGTAACAGCTATGTATGTTTTGTTTTTCATCTATTAGAACTGCACACCACTCTATCTTATTAAAGTGGTCTGGGTGCAGTGATCCTGTCCCCTTAGCCTTGCAAAATTCATAGAAACGGCAATGTTTACATTGCAGGGTTAAGACTGCATCTAGTGGTTGTTTTCCAGACCGCTACTAGAGGCATGCCCTGCTGTTTCACTGAGTTTAACTTAGTGAAAGTGTGAGGACGTCCAGCGTCTTGCAAATCCCCATAGGAAAGCATTGAGTCAGTGCTTTACTTTGGGGAAGGCCTAATGCGCGCGTGGCACTCACTGCGCATTAGCTTTCCCCTATCAATGGCGTTGGATGAACCAGAGAATGAGCCAGTGCCATGGGAACCTCGGAACTGGAATTAGATGTGGGGTTGAACTTGCATATGTAAGTTCAACTTCACATATGAAAACAAAATTGCTGCGCCCGTATTTTAAGATCCAGCACAAGGAGGAAAAGATAATAAATATTAAGATACAGGGGGCACGAGGCTGCATCAATCCATTTCACTGGCTGCTGCTATACTGTTACTATTTAAATAACATCTGCACTCTGGGATGTAACAAACTAGCAAATCTGTCTACTTTGGTGTTAATTCCCCCTACCAGGAACTGTAAAGTTCTGACCAAGTATTTTTCAGTTTTGCTAACTTGGCTTAAATATCACAATTTCTTTGCCAATTCTCCACAAAACCCAGTTGGGTGAATAGACTTCTTTTGGTACTGTTGTTCTGTTCGTGTTACTTGTATGTACTCCATGTTTTGGTGTCTGTTTATTTTCAGGTGGAATCTAACTTCTTGTGGAACTAGTGTGGCAAGTTCTGAGTGCAGTGAGGAATTATTTTCCTCGGTGTCAGTTGGAGACCAGGATGACTGCTATTCCCTACTGGATGACCAGGAATTCACGTCTTTTGACCTTTTCCCAGAAGGCAGCGTTTGTAGTGATGTTTCCTCCTCGATCAGTACCTACTGGGACTGGTCTGATAGTGAATTTGAATGGCAGGTAAATTGTAGTAAATGAATACACCTAAAATGATGTGAACTCTTAAATAAATATAAACCGTTAATCCATGTAAGGTCTTGCTTGCAATGTTGTCTGTAAATATCTGCGCTAAGCTGTTAATTCCTGCAGCTGGTAAATATTAGCAGTCACAATTTACCACAACATTTCCAATCTCTTCATCCTTTTTATGCCTTCTGCCGTTACAATCTTCTGTTCCTACAGATGCCGCTTCCTTCTAGGTGTTTGCAAAGTCATTGCCATAGAAAGCACAAACAAGGCAGTATAAAATAAATGCTCACCTTGTACATGCACTCTTTAGGGATCAGCCTTGGCTGGACTGATGCAGGAAATACTTGCACTGTATACTGTGCTATACTAGTGTGTGATCATGTGTGCACTAATTGTTGCCTTAATTATTGAGGTTATTTTATCTTCTTAGAATTGTTAACTTGAATCACACATGCCCTACTTCTAAAGAATAGTTTTATATATTTATTTTCATGTGGTTTTAGGTTAATTTAATGACTTAATTGTAATCCCAAATACCCAATGTGTATATTATTTTTTCTCTAAATTGAATGTTTGAGGAGGAAGCCGTGTTTAAACTTGTTTTTGTCTCTTTCCACTAAGCAGAAGCAGACTTTCAAAATTTGAGGGATAGTATTAGTGACCGCTAGTAAAATTTATTGAGAATTCTGGAAACCAGTTGATAACTTGCTGTTGATGTCTCCCATTAAAGTGGAAACCATTCCTACAAACATATGTTGCTGACAGCCATGTTAAAGGGACCTTATAGTCATTAGAACAACTACATCTTCATGTAGTGGTTCTGGTGTCTATTACCTGTCCCTGCAGTTTTAGCACTGTAAACACTGCCTATTTTAGAGAAGAGGCAGTGTTTAAATTGCAGACTAGTAACACCTCTAGTGGCTGTCACTCATACAGCCACATAAAGTTCTTCCTAGTCCAGTGCTGCACAGTGTGCAGCTATCAATTGCATTCAGCGTCTCCACATTCTGCATGGTGGTTTTGCATGTTCCCCGTAAAGATGCATTGATTAAATGAATCTCTATGAGGAGATGCTGATTGGCGCAACACAATGTTTTGCCGCACATGTGCAATAGCCTCCCATTTTGATTGACTGAGATCATCAAGATTGGTGATCTCTGCCACAGAGGCGGGGCCAGCTGTTGCGAGATCGGCGCAGCATGGTTGGAAAGGTGAGTATAATACTCTTTACCTGCAAGTAGGGGTGCTGGTCACTTAAAAATCAACTTCAGGACTATTGTGTCAGGAATATGTTTGTATTACTGACATTATAGTGTTTACTATACTTACTGACAACATTGGAAGAGTACCCTGTTTATTAAAAAAAAAATAAAAAAAATTTGGGATGTAAACCATTCTCTGAAACTCAGTTTCTTCTTTCTATTCCTCTCAAGCCCATTATATATAACGGGTTATTCTGTAAGGTGTGAATTTCAAATAGCCAGACTGAAAACAGCTGATCTAGATAGTTATCGAACCCAGATATTTTGGCCTTAAATTTGAAATTTTATTTAAACTCCTGACAATTCATACTTTAGTCCAGGCTTCCTCAAACTCTGGCCCTCCAGATGTTTCTGAACTACAACTCCCTTGATTCTATGAATGAAATAGGCTGAGAATCATGGGAGTTGTAGTTCAGCAACATCTGGAGTGCCGGAGTTTGGGGAAGCCTGCTTTAGTCCATGAGCTTGCTTGTGTTTAACCCCTTAAGGACCAAACTTTTGGAATAAAAGGGAATCATGACATGTCACACGTCATGTGTCCTTAAGGGGTTAAATACAGAGCAAGCCTTGTAAAGTTTTGTTAGATTATATTGGGAAGGTGTGTTTCTTGGCTGTAAAAAATGTCAGTGGATTGAGTTTGCTTTCGTACTAAGCTGCACTTTACATTTATATCTGTATCCTTCAGCTGGACCCAGCTGTGTTACTGTAGAAAAAGGTCAATGTAAAATCCTTTGTTTAGTGCATCCAACGCTTGCATTACATGTTCAGCTTCACATAATTACTCACTGACTACATAGTACTGTACGTTAAAGTGGACGGAAGAAAATACAGTTTCTAATATAAATCAGTCTGTTTTAATATTACGCTACACGTCTCTATCTACCTATCTCATTTATTTTTGTCAGTGTTTGTATATAACACATGGAACAGTATATGCACACAACCATCATGCAAAATGAGATCATGAGAAAATACAAAATAGAACAAAATGTATCCGTGGGGAATATCTTTAAAGTGACAAATAATATCCGGAAACAAAACTAACAAATAACGAGCGGAAAAACTATACACCAAAACATTCTCAGCATGTAGTCTGACAAAAGCCATATCCTGGATAGCATAGATTCCTCTGATTAGCTGATTGTTTTTCATTGTTGAAAATATTTTTAGCACTTTTCTATTTTTTAAAAAATTTGAAATCTGACTGTAGTTTAGTTTTTTTAAATAATTTGAAATCACAGAAATTAACTAACCCCAGACACTAAAAAAACCTTGTATCGGTCGTAAGCTCTGTAAATATTGGCCAGTAAGGAGAATTACCTAAATTTTCTAAGGCTGGCCTCCTGTTAGATTGTAAGCAACACAGATAAGTTGGTACAGCTGGAGAATATGAATTATTATTTTTTTTTTTTAAATGAACTGTCCAATTAATGTGGTTTAAAGGACCCTTTTTCACTTAGAGTAGTTCTAGAGTCTTCATTTAATCACTTCCATCTAAATGTGCCACAGCAGAAGACATTTGGGCCTTGCAAAAAAACTGTAGTGGTTATTGTCCTTACAGTTACCCTTTTTATATGAGGGTTGACATTTTGTATACCTGTCTATTTAATAACCGTATTGTGTTCTGATTTGATTATTGTTTGTCTTCCAAGTTACCCGGCAGTGACATTGCAAGTGGAAGCGATGTTCTGTCAGATGTCATTCCCAGTATACCAAGCTCGCCCTGCCTTCCATCCAAAAAGAAAAACAAACACAGAAACTTGGATGAGCTCCCGTGGAGTGCAATGACGAACGACGAGCAGGTAGAATTGCACAATGAATGCATGACATTTTGTAGGGTGGTAATCTGCACAAGAATTGCTTATGGTGCAATCTAAGCACCCATGATGTACATGGAATTCTTCTCAGTGTTCAATCTAAGATCTTTTGGTGAGCACTTCTGAAATTAAACTGTCAAGAAAGGAATTTGTATTAAAACATCAACATGCAATTTTGCAAAGAGTATCCAATAAATGTATGCAAACTGTAGAGTTTAGCTTTAACTCTATGTATGTATAATCCCACATTTGCACTAAGCTCTGTAGTTTGCATTATGTGTGTATAATAAATATATTGTTTTATTCAGGAGTGTATTTGTCTGGATTGTTTTTGTGTGTTTATGCAGGAGCTTATATAGGGACGTATTCATGTGAAGTAACTGAATGGGTGTATTGTTACCATACTTCGTAACATTGGGCAGTATGAAACTGGGCGAGCCAACAGTGGGTGTGCAGGTTACAATGCTTGGTAATGCACAAAGAGGCTCATCTGTCTGAAAAGGGAAAAGGCCTGTCCAAAAAAAGCTATGTTTGGGGAGCATGAAAGCAATCCAGACTGCCTGCCAATCACACTGGATGGCCCCATTCTGGGCTGCACATGCACGAACCCATGGGTAAAGAGCTCTGCCCATGGGATGATTGTCTTAAGTGCAGTTTGCACGGCCTGAGTGCCTCACTCTATTCTTTTATGGACAAAGCCCTGAATTTGGGACTGTCCCATAGAACCTGGGTATGTTGGAAGGTATGCATTACTACAGTTTTCTCTTTAGTGAATAATTCTTATCGTAGTCTAAGCCAGGCATAGGCAATCTTCAGCACTCCAGATGTTTTGGACTACACCTCCCATGATGCTTTGCCTGCCTTATTGATGTAAGAGCGTAATGGGGGATGTAGTGCACAACATCTGGAGTGCCGAAGGTTGCCTGCCCATTGTCTAAGCTGAGTGTGATTTGATTTACATCTCCAGTGGCAGATAAAATAAATATTTTACTCTCCAGGTAAAGCACTTCTTTACACAGGTTTATTACAGTGTTACCAGTGATGTTTTACTGATTATCCCAGTCTGCTTCTTCCAGGTTGAATACATTGAGTATCTCAGCCGCAAAGTCAGCACTGAAATGGGACTACGCGAGCAACTTGACATCATAAAAATCATTGATCCAACGGCACAGATCTCCCCCACAGACAGCGAATTTATCATCGAACTGAATTGTTTGACAGATGAAAAGTTGAAACAGGTTGGTTAATACACGAGAGAGGGGGAAAAAGTCCCATATTTAGAGAATATATAATTTTTTGATTTTGTTATTTTCAATGTAAAAACTTTAAAGTTATGGAAAGAACCACACACAAGGTCTAAAATACTGGTTTGGAAGGAAAAGTGCTGATCGCTAACCAGCCTCTGGAAGCTATGGGCTGACCTTTAACCAAGCACTTGATGAAAAAGCCTGGGGGTTTCTCTCTATAAAACCCATGGGGCAAAAATGATTACAGGCAAAGAGGCTGCTTAACATACACAAGACACTTTGTATCCAGGTTTTAACATGACGGAATGCCATGGCATGTAGTGCTATATAAATGGTTATTACTGTGAAACTGAGATTTCTTATTGGGTATCTGGTTTAGCTTTTCAGACAACTCACTTCATACCATGAGCGTCTCATTCACTTGTTCCTTTTTAAAAGTAAAGCACTTTTATTATAGTTGATTGGTATTTAAAGAATCACTATAGTGTCAGGAAAACAAAGCGGTTTTCCTGACACTATATAGTGCCCTGAGGGTGACCCCACCCTCAGGGTCCCCCTTCAGTGGCGCTGAAGGGGTTAAAACACCTTCAGCAGCTTACCTTATTCCAGCGCCGGGCTCCCTCTGTGCTTGTGACCACTCCTCCCCCGCCGACGTCAGCTCCTCCATCTGATGTCAGCGGAGCCGAATGCGCATGCGTTGAAAGTGCCACGCGCGCATTCAAAGTGTCCATAGCAAAGCATTTCTCAATGCTTTCCTATGGACGCTCTGCGCGATGGAGGCATAATATGCCTTCAGCGTCACAGATACGCCTCTAGTGGCTGGCCAGAAGACAGCCATTAGAGGCTGGCTTAAAGGACCACTATAGTGCCAGGAAAATATACTCGTTTTCCTGGCACTATAGTGCCCTGAGGGTGCCCCCACCCTCAGGGACCCTCTCCCGCCCGGCTCTGGTGGAGAGGAAAGGGGTAAAACTTACCTTTTCTCCAGCGCCGGGCGGGGAGCTCTCCTCCTCCTCCTCTCCGCCTTCTTTCCTCCCCTTCATCTGAATGCTTTCCTGTGGACGCTTGCGTGTTCTCTCTGATTTTCACAGTGAGAATCACGCAAACGCCTCTAGCGGCTGTCAGAGACAGCCACTAGAGGAATTGGAGGCTGGATTAACCCATTTATAAACAAAGCAGTTTCTCTGAAACTGCTATGTTTATAAAAAAATGGGTTAATCCTAGCTGTACCTGGCACCCAGACCACTTCATTAAGCTCAAGTGGTCTGGGTGCCTAGAGTGGTCGTTTAACCCCAAATGTAAACATAGCAGTTTCTCTGAAACTGCTATGTTTGCATCTGAAGGGTTAAAACCTGAGGGGCCTAGCACCCAGACCACTTCATTAAGCTCAAGTGGTCTGGGTGCCTAGAGTGGTCCTTTAACCCCAAATGTATACATAGCAGTTTCTCTGAAACTGCTATGTTTGCATCTGAAGGGTTAAAACCTGAGGGGCCTAGCACCCAGACCACTTCATTGAGTTGAAGTGGTCTGGGTGACTGTAGTGTCCCTTTAATGAAAATATGTACAATGAGTAACTGCACTTTGGCATTTGGATAATTTATTAAATTGTGAGTTATTTCTTCTTTCTATATCTCTCTTGTTCATTGGGCTATGTATGAAAAGCACTTCTAGGACAGAGCTGTAAAAGTGACATCCGAAGGAACATTCCTTTGGTTTTCATGGGGATTTCTCTTTTTTTTAAATATTTGCCCCAGCATAATTCTTAATACCTTTTCTTGGGATTTGTATACGTAATCTCACTATAATTTGTATCCTGTGCCTTTTTATAAACTCCCTGCTGCTCTGACTTTTCACTTTGTCTATAAAAATAAAATAAAAAATAATTTTAATAATAAAGTGTTCCTTTAGACACAGTTGGTCATTCTGTTTGGCTGAATAATATACTGAGCCAAAAATAGTGGGTTTGCTAAATTAATTTCAATGCTTTTGGGCACCCATCAGAGGGAGATCCCATCACCTTACATTCAATCCTTTCACAACTGATGGACAAATATTTGATTCTATTATTTGCCCAATGTGTAATTTTCCAAACTTCTGTCCACCCAGGTTCGGAGTTACATCAAGGAACACAGTCCTCGTCAGCGCAACACACGGGAGAACTGGAAGAGAAGTAGTTATAGTACAGCTAGCACTAGCGGTGTAAGTGGAGCCAGTGTGAGCAGTAGCAGTGCCAGCATGGTGAGCACAGCCAGTAGCAGTGGGTCAAGTGTGGGCAACTCTGCATCAAACTCCAGTGCCAACATGAGCCGGACACACAGTGATAGCAATTTGTCAGCAAGTGCCGCAGAAAGAATTCGAGATTCAAAGGTAAAGTGTTCTATGCAAATAATCTAAAATGCACGCAATCTTTGTCGACTTATAATGTTCAGTGCTGATATATAATTTTTTTTTAAAAAATACTTTATTTTTCCATCTTGACAGAGTTGGCGTGAGCCATATAAACGGTTCGGCTTACGCAGAAGCCTGTTGATCCACATTATAAGTGTACATAATTATGCATATACATACAATTAATATTGCTAAGCAGAACCAACAACCTTCGTGGCATTAGGTTCGTTTGGCCACTTGTCAAGGGATTTTGGTTATATAAGAAAACTCGTTTTATAACTGAAGCACTTGACATGCTCACAATACCTGGTGCGCAGTACTGCATGAAAGCCATACCAGCACCTCGCACCTGGGCTATTGTTTACCTTACCAGTGTTGTCGTTGGCCATAAGGTATCCATAGTTGTCAAGTTACCAACCTTTGTATGTTTGTTTAAGAATAACAAAAACTAAAAAGTCTGTAAAACTTGTGTAACCTTCTACCTTAACTTTGCTTATGGTGGCTCCTGTAGCATACTAAATCTCCGTTAATGGTAGGGTGGAAGAATTTGGTGGAGATAGAAAGAAGAGAGTATAGAGAGTTTCCCATCAGGCCATGGGGGCGGCGGTGACTGATATATTAATTTAAGCTCCATTTTTACAAGGCCGGGCAGCTCGAATTAAATTAAAAAAAATATTCGCGTAGTCCCACTTTCTCCTCCAATTTGGCTTTAACACTTCATAAACTCTATCTCTTCTTGTCCCTCCTGAGGGATATTTACTAAGGAGGATATTTCATGAAGAAAACACAGAGATATCTGCAATATCTATGCCTATCCACTGTCTTTAGAAGAACAGTGTGATTTAGGTCATTGTCTCCATCCAAATATGTAAGATGTCCTTCAAACAGGGAGCATTTTATGATTGATCACTAGATAACCTATTAACGCAGATAGCAAAGGGGAAAAAGTCCTTCAGCAGGACAAGAAGAAATCCAACCGAGATAACCCAGATATGATGGTAAGCAAAAGTATGAAGACCATACAAAAGATACAGAGAAATCCTCTACAGATACAAGACCAGATTTGTTCTAATGTCAGGCACGTTAAGAAGATTTACTCCAGTTCCTATCCACAGGAAAAGAAAACATTTTGGGGCCCTTAGTTGTTAGAATAATCATAAAAGGCTGTTTTATGGATTTCATTCACCCCCCCTCCCCCATTTTGGTCTATTTTTTTGAAGTGTCATTTTATAAGAGAAACTCTTTTCGGAGCAGTTCAAGAACTCAAGAGAAAAGCTGTTACAGAACAAATAAACAGAATCATGTTTCAGACTTTTCCCTGTGTTGCAACTAGATAGGATTCTATGGACCAAAATGTTATCACAAAAAAAGTAAAATACAATTTTCAGTAAATATTTCAATCATCATAAAAGTATCTCCTGGTTTCACTGGACTTCACAGTGAAACGATTGCAAGAAACTGCAGGTGTGTGCTCAGGGTTGCAGTAAGAAACTCAACTTACATTTTTTAGTGTTTAGGACACTGCAATTTTTCACTTCAATATTAACCCCTTAAGGACACATGACGGAAATATTCCGTCACAATTCCCTTTTATTCCAGAAGTTGTGTCCTTAAGAGGTTAAGAAGCTTCACAAAGCGTCTAAGAGGGGGCTCAAACCACAGCCAGCTGGCTTGGCTAGGGCTGCATAAATAGAAACAAAAGTGATTTAACTCCTTAATTGCAGAGAAAGGAGCAGTGAGACTGCAGGGGCTTGATCTATACACCAAATCTGCTAAGTGAAGCTAACATTCTTTGGTGTGTAGAATATTCCCATTAAACACAGGTCCTGAATGTTTATGAAAGGGTCTGTCTTTCCAAGCATTTAATACACAACTCTGGGCGTTCGGCCTATAGAGCATTATAGGTGGCAAATAAAAAATAAATCTTAAAAATGCATTTTTTTTACGTTCTTTTATCCCTTGTTGCATGTGACTTAAATACTTTTTTTGTGAAGACTTTACAGTTTTACTCCATTTTTACCTGTAGTACTTTTTTTTTTTTTTTTGTGTATTTAGAAAAGATCGAAGCAACGAAAACTACAGCAGAAAGCTTTGCGCAAGAGACAGCTAAAGGAACAAAGACAAGCCAGAAAGGAAAGACTAAGTGGCTTATTCCTTAACGAAGAAGTCCTCTCTCTAAAAGTCAACGAAGAAGACCACGAAGGGGATGTAGACGTACTGATGTGACGAGGGTGAAACAGTGTTCTTCCTAAGTCTTAACAACTCCAGTCTACTTGAGAAAAACTTTAAAGAATGTATATCAGCTGATGTAATTAATTTCTGAGAGAGCAACCCTTTACAGAGCTGTGTGGGTAAGACATAATTGCCACAGGTTTTCAGACCCTTTGGGCTGGCAGTGTTCCCCACAATTAAAATACGTCTTGTAACTCATCAACCTCATTCTATTTCGATTTAAGTACCACTAAATCGGCTACTGCGTGTGCTTTGTAGGTAAGGTTTAAACTCTGAAACCAGTTAATTATTGCATATATTTCCCTAACCATGTGCAAGTCATTCGCCTTAACTAAAAATCCTGTCCCTGTAATTCAGTTTTCATATGGTTAACTTCAGGTCTCCTGCACTCTGTAAATACAAGAATCCATGAAGTGAACTGCATCATTAAAAAGAAAAATACCCAAGAATGTAAAACTGCTAAAATTAGTAGTGGTTTTTCTCTCCTTCATAGTGTTAATTACTTTTTGAAACTTGCATATTACAAGGAACATGACATTGTAATAGTCATGCTAGATTGGGTCACTCAGTATTGGCATGGGGAAACTTTAGAACTTAAACACACTATAAACCCCCATTTTATGGGGCAAATCCGTATTTTCCTGTGAATTGTATACTAACTTGTCAACCAGCTGTGTCCTTCAGAAATGACAGACGACAACGTATGCTGTTAGCTTGATTTACTGCATTAAGACAGATGAACATCTTTAACAATGTTAAGTGACCCATTACTGACAGACTTAAGAAGAACACTGTAATGACTACACTGTTTTTTGGGATTCAAAACTGTCAATACTACTTGTTTACTTGTAAATTTGTATCTATATATAATGCACTCATTGTTTGTACAGCTCACTGCTGATCAGATGCCTGCGGCAAGTTATTTGAGTGCTGTACAGTTCTGTCTGCTGTGTATTCTAAGAACATATATATAATATATATATATATATATATTTTGTTGTGGGAAAGCAAAATTCTATGAAATTCAAACACCTTGAAAAAAAATATTTAGCACTTTTTTTTTCCGTTTACCACTTGAAAATCTTTATTTGTGAACGCTTTTTTTTTTTCATCCTTTTCAATTTTTTCAAAGTATAAAATTATGTGGAATCATTTGGTTTATTCATTAAATTGTAGTACGTAATCTGCTGGCTACCGAAGTCTCTGAGCACCAATGTGTTATATAAAATAATTTCAGAAATGCTTTGAGATTTTCATTAAACCACTTGATGTCAGTGATTGTGTTGGCATAACATTACAGAGTTTCAAGATGAAAAAGAACACAATATTTTATGGTTTTACTTAGAGGAATGTTAATATTTCTATAACCATACTGTGGGCAGTATAGAAGAGGGCTTGAAACCTGAAATGAAATATAACCATGAAAATATTAGACATACTTACATTTAAAATGTGTTCTCTTTTCTGGCACTTTGTGGCCAAGAACTCAGTGGTCTGCCTTTAGAACATATTTAAAGAATTATTTTAGCACCTGACCATTTAAGTCCAAAGCTTATATGATGGCTAGTTAATATGCCGTTTGTAGAATTGCTGTGTGCATGCCTTTGGCCAATGTAGCCAAGCCGCTGGGAAAAAAAAAAAGTTGAATCTAGCTTGGTTAAAGGATTTCGTCTTACATTTTGCAGATGTATTGTCAATCACCACCTACCAACAAATGCAATTATACAAACAAAACAAATGTCTCAATATATACCATGGATGAACTCAAAAATCTTATAAGGCTTGAAAATCACAGATCTCTTAATGGTGTTTGACAAATGTAACTGTGCAGCAAGGAAGGAGATGTCACCTGCTTAATGGATTTAAGAATTCTGTAATTCCACTGGGTTGGAAAGCATAGACTATCTTGTGGCCATTCTGGAGATCACGGACGTTTAAAACTATATCTAAAAATGTAACAGGCGTTCTTTCTGTTAACTGATTTGTGGATTTGGCCCAAGGGGTAGAGATACAATTATTTGATAAAATTTATGGCTGGGAGCGGCAAGGGAAGGAGAGAAAGGTAGAGCAAACATTCGTCCTACAGTTGAAATGTTTGCCAGCAAGATATCAGCCAAACAATTTACTATATGCATATGGAATAATGACGGAAACTGCTTGTACACAATATTACAATGTGGCAAACTACAGGTATAAATCTATGATTCTGAATTCATTTCTTAATGTTGCTGGAGTTTTATCACAAAAGGGACTCCAGCATTTTTTTCTCTCCAAAGACTGTAATCTATACTCCCTTATTTTGTTGCTTTCCTTAATAATTTCCTTATCCTCTTAATTTTTCTTTCATATCATTCTTCCTCTATGCAATTCAGTGTAACGCATGCAGTGTTTTATGGAGTATTCTTCATGCCATGTCTTTATCTTGCTCTAAGCTTAAAACAGCACTGTAGTGTTAGGTAAAAACTAGAACATTGGGAAAAACGGATTGTATTCCTAACTGTACGAATTTCCCTTCCCCTACTGTGTGAAAGATCAAAGGGTGAGTTTCACTTACCTGGTCTCCGTCCTGCTGGCATGGGTGCTTGGCTGAGATTTCAGCCAACACAGTGCCTTCCCGTAGGAAAACCGCAAGATCCTAGTACTCGTCTACACAAAACGCAGCGCTGTGCCAATTAGATGGTTTATGTGAGTTATACACTGCTACTCTCTGAAGAAGGGCCTCTGATGGATGTTGGAATGACAGCCACTAGAGGCATTTAAACCCTGCAATATGAACATTGTTGTTCGTACAGAATAGAGTCCCTTTTAAGCAGTTATTTATCATATTTTTGCATCTAAACATTTATTTAAAAAAAAAAAAAAAGGAACTGGGACGACCTGTTGCTAAATATGTGTGCTAAAAAACAAACCTAACTGCCCTTTAGTCTCAAAAGACATCTCACACACAGTAACAGAGGATATTCGTTACCTTTCTAACCTACAGAAAACTGCTTTTGTATGACAGCATCTATGTCCCCTCTTATTCATGTTCTTACAAAAACTACCCTTCATGATTTTCATTATTTGTCTGTGCTTGTTCAGCAAAAATGTTACAAAAATAGTTTGTTTTTCTCCATTTCTTTTATTTAATTTTATTTTACATTTTTGTATGTAACAATGAAATTGCCTTAAATTGAAGTCTGGCTAATTGAGGGACATTTATGCACATAGATTTTTAGTGAATTAAAAAGTGTTGCAGAAATTAGGTCTCAGTAGATTGACTGTTGCTTAATGAAACATACGTCTGAGAATTCTGTTGCTTTTAATACATTGGAATATTCAGAGTGTCTGCTTGAGAACTATAGTGGGGAATAATGGATCACGAATTCTTTTTGTACATCACATTATTTGCTAACATTTTATTTTTAATTAAAACATAATACGTTTATGTCCATCTAGGGCAGGAGAGAGTGTGATTATTTGTGTAGTGTGGTTAATAGTTTGGCACACTTTAATTGATTGGCCATCTCCTAGGCAACATTTTAGATTGTGATGAAACCTCTATTTTTAGTAGAAGTCTACAAACAGAATCAGATATTTAGCTATAACCTCCTGGATATATTTAGTTGATGACCCCTAAAACCACTACCACCTTAAGGACGGCAGATGTCTAATTTTACTCCTCAATCTGATGTTTGGCTTCATATACAATGAAAACAGAAGTTTGGGTAAAGTAGTCTTACAATACCTGTAGGCCCAAAATTGGCTGGCTGGCGTAGAGGCATGAAAAATGTTTGTTCATGCACGGAGGCCATGCCGAGGAAGGAAGTAAACACTGCTGGAAGCTTGACTGATTTCTTTAATTACTAATAATCGGAAGATTGTTATCTAAGCTGCTGAATCCCTCATTGCCTAAACGAATACATGCTGACCATATGGTTTTCATTCAAACTGGGAATGCTTTGGACAATGTTTGTAATATCTGATACTTTGTGTCCTTTCATGGAACCTTTCTGCTTGTGCTTGCTGCTCAAAAACAAACAAACCTTTGACTGCGTGCAGTAGGGTTTCAATGGGAGAGATACCTCTGTTTTGTGCAAACTATAAACCTCTTCTATGGATTTCCCTCATGACATTTCATAGCTTGTTGCCTGCCCCACTTGTTTTATGTTGAGAATGATCCTAGACAAGAATGCACTCTCTCCCCTTCTTTGTGCCAATTGCATTGAGCCTACTGTGAACCAAATCCAGTGGGCCGCTGGGGTGGGGTCAAGATTAGTATTTGTTTTATTTTGTCAAACCAAGAACTCTGTAGGTCATTGCATGGCTGTTCAATCTCAATTTAATTCAGAAGCGATAACATTGAATTGTTCTCCTGAAAACATTATTCTTTCATGCATTTTACATTAAAAACATATTTGCACATTTATTAGCAAAGTTTACAATGCTGTATGTTCTGAATTTGCGATAATGCTGGTAAATTATAAAGATTGCACATAATGTCTCTTAAATGCTAACATTTTAAATCCAACCTCTTATCTCCTCAACATTTCTTACTGTGTATGACACTATGGTCTCTTTAAATTACTAGTTGTTAAAATGTAAAACCTTTTCTCATGTTACAAATGAAATGCATATTGTAGCTTTGGACTGCTTGTAAAATTATCAACGGGGCAAACATCATTGTGAATATAATTATCATTATGTAGTGTCAGCGCAGTAGTCTGGTTGACAGCTTTTAACAGTTTGATTTAAAATAATTGTGGTATGAAAACACCACTGCAGTTTGACACCATTCTACATAACAATGTTCTCGTTATAACAAAGTTATAGTTTGCAAAAAGGCAGTGTAACTCTCAAAAACCATTTCACAAGCATAACCGTTTCTGACTTTTTTAGATCTGCTCTCTGTATGAGTTTTATCTATTAAGATATATTATTTTTATTATGTTTGTTGCATAATATATTTTTTAAGGGTAAACGTAAGCATTATAGGTGCATCTCCGAACATTTTGGCACGGGGTCATGAGAAATTCTTACATGCAATTCATTAAATGTATTTCCATTATGTAGTAGTGTACAGTGAATGGTTGTGTGCTCTGGGCTATGGTTTCTGTTTTTTTTTTTTTTTTCATTGAAAACAACAAACATGATATTTAATAAAGGAGATTCATAACTGTTGCTGTGGTTTTTATTGAGGAGTGAAATACTTGTTCTGGGCTTTCTTTTGTGCAATAGTGATAGAAACAAAGTTCCCTTAGCGCAATCCCTGTGCAGTTTTAAAATGCTATGTGCAAATTTGTATTGTTTTCCAATTTATGACAAAAGGGATTGACTTAAAGGCAGTGGTGTATTTAGGATTTGTGCTGCCGTAGGCAAGACAGTGGCCCCCCCACCCCCAATTAAAATTTTCCCCACCCCTTCCTGTCAAGGCAGCACTTTGACTGACAGACGCATACACTCACTGACCGACACACACTCACTGATTTGACACACTGATAGACAGACACACACTATTACTTGGCCACACACTGACAGACGCGCACTCACTGACCGACACACTCACTCACTCACTCTCTCTCTCATTCACATACACATTTCTCCCAACACTCACAAATTATTATTTTTGTAAAATATTATTTTAAATCCAACCAGCCTCCCTGAGAGAGCTGGAGTGGATTACTAACTAACCTGTTATCTAGTGGGGAAGTTGCGCGGGTTGGCAGGGGGCGAGGGAGCTTTAATCTTCCTGCTCAGCTCCCCCGCGCGCCACTTAGTGATGCCGGGAGCCGGAGTGACGTCATATTCCGGCTCCCGGCTTCATTAAGTGGCGCGGAGGGAGCTGAGCAGGAAGAGCTCAGGTGAGTATGCTACGTGAATTGCTGGATTTTTGTTGTATTTTTTTTTTTTTTTTTAAAGGAAATCTCTTCCAAAATCTTTCCCTCCCCTGTTTTTTTGCCGGTTCAGTGCTTGCGCATGATCTCTGAGCTGACAAAATGGTCCAATCACAGGCTTCTGCAAAAGAAGACCTTATAAAAATGGATGACAGAGCGTAAATATGGAAGTGCCCAGTTGCAGTATAAAGAGGTGCCATTTCTACATTAAATTTAATTTTTACATCTCACAAAAAACATATTTGGTAAATGTAGGATAAGTAAACATATTAAAAATCTTTAGAAGTGGCAGCCCCCTTTTGAACATTCTCTATCAAACTGAATGGGGACAATCCATGGTGGCACAGCATCTTTAGAGGCCACATTAAGATAATGTGATTCTTTTTTTTTTTTTGTTATTAATGAAGGACATACGTTCATGTTTGTAAGCAGAAGTTCCAGAACAGGCGTAGATAACCTTCAGCCTTCTTGATAGTGTGGACTACATCACCCATAATGCTCTTACAGCTGTAATGTTGGCAAAGCATCAAGGGAGATGTAGTTCACAATATCTTAAATGTAAGCAGTTTGACTAGTTGTGTGGGGGGACACAGCTTTTGAAAACCGTCCATAAGTTCTGGGCAATAACCAGAGCTTGGCATTATGTTTTGTGTCCACAAGAGGGCAATATTTACTATCTCAATGAGGGCTGTGTTCACCATTTCTTCTGGTCCATCTGTAGTAACTTAGTACAGGCATACCCCACTTTTAAGTACACAATGGGACCAGAGCATATTTGTAAAACGAAAATGTACTTAAAGTGAAGCAATACCTTTTTTCACTTCCCAATGCATGTACTGCATTGCAATAGTCATTTACAGGCATAACTGATACTGCAACTGCAAATTTCCAGTGATTTTATTTCCAGTGATTTCAAGTGGGCTTTTATTCAGTTAATACAAACAGTAAAAAAAAAATCTCATTCCAGATTGTACCATTTATCTTTAATGTTTTACTCATCTGACAACCTTAAACTGGGAGGAAAAAGTAAAATAAACCTGCCCACTGGGCCATTTTCTGTCAATACAGTGCCAATTTGTATGTGTTAGCAGCTTTGTTGCACACGTTGTTTAGAAACGCCTCTTCATCCCTTTAAGCATTTATGGTTTAACTTTGAATCCTCAGAATTGTGGCTAATGCAACTAAGCTGCTAAGTCGTAGTTATAGAAAATGGCAGGGTAAACCCTTTCACTGGATGGCGCCGATTGCAGAATATGGACAATGTAGGGCAGAAAAATATATTTATATGTTCAGCTAGGAGTAGACATTATAAATTTGAGATGATTAACCTGTGCCATGTCAGAAGGTGTGAAAAGTTCTTGCCCCAAAGACACTGAACTGAGCTGCTTCAGGCGAGAATAAAACCTTCCATTTCCTGTTCACTCGCAGACAGAAGAGGCGCGGGAATGTCTGTACTCGCAAGGCACCTTTACGTACACTCACGGGTATGTGTGTACTTAAAGTGAGTGTATGAAATTATGAATAATATTCTTTCTTTGCTTCTCTTTTTGTTGATGTTTTTAATTTTTTTTTTTTTAATTATTGTATTTATTTTGTAGATTATATTTATGCTATTTGATTAAAAAAAAATCTGTATTTTCTCGGGGTCTAAAATTTAGTTTGCGAAAGTACCAGGACCCAATAGGCATATTTTTAAAGCCACAGCAGGGATTTGTTTTAAATATTTTTATTGTTTTCACAATATAAGTGCATATTGCGAACTGGTTCGTAATAAAGCCAGAGGTTGCCCACGCAGGGGCTTAAGCAGTAAGTTATAGCATTCATTAAGGTGAACGGTCGCCTACGTAGAGGCTTAAATGTTAGCACATAGGAATAGATGCAGATTATCGCTTGCGCAGAGGCGTAATGATCAGAACATATAGGCGTACTTGAACTTTGCAGGAATACATTTCTAAGCATTACAGCATAAAAGGTAACAACATCCTATAATGCGTCTATCTGAGGTAAACTGTAGCTGATCATGCAATACATGTAATGAAGTATATAGGCAAACTAATGCAGTGTTAAAAGAAATGACCATCCTATAATACAAGTGCTGATGTATGCCTGTTGGAGCGGGCAGATGCTGATGCTGAGCTCAGTGCTTGTTCAGCATAAAGGGCTTCGTTAAGCTTAAATAACCGCCAATAAGTATGGTGCGGTGAACATTTATGGTGGAAATGGTATATTAGTCAGGCACCGTGAGGCAATGATGCATCCTATCTGTAACGGCCCCGCAGTGTCTAGCTAATTGCAAAATACACATGTCAGGATTCAAGTGTATTGATGGTAGAAAATATGTCATTAACATTACTTCATATCTGTAACAGTTTAGCAGTGTCTAGCTAATTGCTAAATAAGCATGTCATGGATCAAGTGTATTAAGAACATCAGGGAACAAGCGCCTCTGGTGGCAGTGCAAAGCAAGAACCCATAAACTTATTCATATTAAAACATCCTAATTATCTAATAACATGAGCCAGAATCCCTAAGTATTCAGCTTGTGTAGCAAAGTACTATTATAGAACTTCTGAAACTTTCAGACACGCATGGCAGTCAGCTTATAAGGTTAGTCTCGTATGTTTCTGCTGTGTAGCTGAGTCCCCTGTCATGAGCAGCGTTTTCATCTTAGTCCCCCGACAGCGGGCGGGCTGCAGGTACAACACACTCCGAGCAGAGGGAGCCGACTGCGGACACATCCGCAGCCAGTCCCCGGGGCGCCGGCCTTTCGCCGCGTCCCCCCAGGTCATGCCGGGCTTCCGACCAGGGGATCTTCAGCGCAGCGGGCACCCGGGGACCCACTAGCCCACAAGACCCCCCCACCTAGAGTCCGTGCGCCAGTCATCCCCTGCACCCCCACCGCACCTCTGGAGCCCCAGCCGGATGAGGCGAAGGCCGTCTTGTGTCTCACCTTTCTCCGGCCTCTTAGGGCAGGCGCCGACTTCCCCTCAGCCACCGGTCCGTCGGGGGCCGCCGCGCTCCACTCCACAAGGGCACACAGTGTCGGGGACAGCCACCTCCTGGCCCTCCACAAAACCCAGAGGTGACGGCGATCCGCTCTCAGCCAGGCATAATCCCAGGGTCGCTGCATCCAGCCAGCGGGTCCCAAGGATGTCGCGGCCGCGTCCCGCCTGGCCTCCTCCGCCCACGTGCATCACCCCTAGTGCCCATCTCCGCCTGTGGGTGTCACATCCATGGGGCTGCTTCTCAAGGTAATGCCAGCAGTCTGACCTGAAATAAGTAGTTGGGTATGAAACGTCCCTTGATTTCAGGTGTTGTTATCAGGCGGGCCACGATTAGGCAGCCTGTGCCTGTACTGGAGGGCCGCGCGCTCCCCCGGCGGTGGCGTCCCGCCCGGGTTGTGCGGCCTCCATGTGGCCAGGATTACCCCCACCGGCCGGGGGAGGGGGCGGAGCGGGGCCGCAGCTCTCGCCGAGTAGTTTCCTGTAGAGGTCCCCTCGGCCTGTGGTTCCTCCGGTCCTGGCAGTTCCCAGCCTGCGGTTGCCCCTGTTTAGGCTCAAGCTGGTGTGTAGGCCGGGTTCGTCCGTTTCGGTGTTCCTGATGCGGTTGTATCTGCAGTTTAGTATGGTAAGGTAGCTTGGGTGGTGCCCCGTATCACTTCTGTATGTTTTTCTGCTTTGGGGCAGATTGTATGCGAGTTGTGTGGCATTTTTCAGGATTCTGTCCCGGAGCCATGTTACTTTGCTGCCATGCTGCTTGGCGGCCCGGCCCCGCCCCCCACAGCAGGGATTTGCTAGTTTGTCCATGCTGTGAAAATGGCATTGGCATACCATGATAGTGTGCATTCTGGGAATTAGAAATGGAATGCATGGGTTGCATTGTATTCCACCACTGTCACAGAGCACTACTGTACTTGTGCGATGTTACTGCAGCACTACAATATGTGTCAGTGGTAAATAAGGACAGTAGGAAAATAATCATCTGGCATTTTACTGCCGGCAATAATTCGCTCCCACCTGCTGACTATGGGTGAGGGATAGACAACTGCATATTCACCATTGTCATTATTGTTTCTTACCCTGTCACCCTCTACCTGCTGGTGGCAGTATTGGCAAAATGGCATATTCCCCAGTCATTATCATTTAGCCCCCACCACTGCTCATTTGTTGGATGGGAGATACTAATGCCAGGTATCCCCTGTACCTTTACAGGCCCCATGCCGTCGGTAATACTATCATTAATTGCATTTAAAAGAACACTCCCAGCAAAATAACCGCTACAGCACCTGATATGTATGGTTATTCAGACATTTTCTTAGAAATTAATTTCTTCTGGATACTTAAAGGAAAAGTGATATCATTTTTTATTATCATTTAAAATAAAGAATTATATGATTAAAGACAATGTGTGTATTAATTTGCAATGCCTATCTATACATATCTCTGTAGCGGAGATCCAATATTCCACAGATTATCTCCGCTTAAGATCCCAGTGAGGCTCTGGAACATGTAGTTATAAATCCATAAAGCAAGGTTTCCAGCAGGTAAAATAATCCAGCAATATCCCAACAGCAATCCCAATAACTGGACGACACACAGCATCAGGAGCAGAACTGAAAACCTTTATTCCACAGTGGCCTTTTAAAGCATGCTCCCATGCAAGGGAGGGATTTCCATCAATTATTACAGTACCCAATCCGACAATAGTAACCTCCCACACATCTCCTCCCCTCAGCCTGACTCATAATCCCCTTATACTGTACACAAATTCCCCCAGTTTCTGGATGTACCCCTAAACCTAGGGGTACCCCTTTAAATGGCACATCCCCTGGTAGCCCTGATCTGGGTGAGCAACATATCCAGATCGGACCAGGGGTTCGGGAAATTTATGGAAGTACTAAAAAGACCGACCGCGCTGGAGAGACCAGCCGAATTGGGTTCCATGCGATGTGTCCCTGCGGTCGGTCCCAGTATAAGGGAATAAATTACACGAAAGGCTAAGACTACAGAGCTCAGATAGGGTTCGCATGAATCCCCTCGTTCGGTTGTTTCTGTCTACCGAACGAGGGGCCGTTCGGTAGGTTGGAACCGAACGGACCGGGCTTGTGGAGGTCTCAGCGGTGTTTGCCTAGTCGAGTGTCCGATTTGGGTTCCAGACACTCGACTGTGTGAACTGATTGTTCGGTAGTTTCATTCCCTTCGTTTATTCGAATGATTCTACCGAACAATCAGACGAATACACTTTATTTAAACACATACAAAACCAGCAGTTTACCCGAATGCAGTTATACACATGTAATTTTCAGGACAGCCCAGTGCCATCCGCTACAATCTCTTTTCACTGCATTTCCTGGCTTAGTTGTGCACTTGGAGAAGCCATCATAATGCCTGTTTTGGTTTGGATACAGCATGTTTACAGATCCTGATATCATGTGCAAACCTCAGGCATCTCAAAAACACAATCAGAGCTGGTTTGAGCAGTTCACTGTGCAAGGTCGTTGGTCAAATAATTGGTACTTTTGATCAAAAAAGACTTAATGATGGCTACTCCCACAGACCATGGATACAATTATATAAACATCCCACACATGCTCAATCAGATTGATAAGACAACACCATGAACTCTTTGTCATGTTCCTCAAACCATTACTGAACAATGTTTGCAATGTGGCAGGGTGCATTATACTCCTGAAAGAGGTCACTGCCATCAGGGAACACCATTGCCATGAAGGTTTGTACATGGTCTGCAACAATCTCTAGGTAGGTAGTATGTGTCAAAGTAACATCCACATGAATGCGAGGACCCAAGGTTTCCCAGCAGAACATTGCCCAAAGCATAACACTTTCTATGCCGACCTGCCTTCTCCCCATAGTGCATCCTGCTACCATCTCTTCCTCAGGGAAACAATGCACACTCATTTGGCTATCCAACCTGCTTTCTTTACTCCATGGTCCCGTTCTGATGCTCATATCCCCCTTAAAGGGGCATTCACCGGTGGAAATGAGTCATCATGGGCACTCTGACTCTTATCAAAGCCATTAGGACCGTTTCGTAACAGAATAGAATATGGATTCTATGCATTGAAGGGGCAACTAGATAAATATATGGAAATTAGGTTCTTTTGGACACAGAATAAGGAATCTCAACTAATTACATACTAAATCTCTTGATGATGATCCCAGTCCCACAGATCAACCCGCCCCCTGCTCCTCGTGACCTTCTTTCTCACTAATTTTTTTCTTTCTCTCTTTTCTCCTCTTTTTCTTTCTGAACTAATGAAGAATGAATGTAATATTCCTGCACTTATGATTTTCTACCATGATTTACAGTGATGGAAAAAAGTATTTGATCCCTTGCTGATTTTGAACATT